GTGTGTGTGTGTGTGTGTGTGTGTGTGTGTGTTTGTGCTTTTGAATTGAAAAACGAAAGTGACATAAAAAAATGAAATTTGGTATGCGTATATTTTTCCCATTCCAAAATTAAAAATATCTGTTTTTTTTCTTTTTTTACATCGAAAAATCAAAAAATTTTGCAAGCATACCTTTTTTCTCATTTGAATGAAAATGGCAGCATAAAACGGTCACTGCGTCAATTATGTAAAGCTGTTTAAAAAAAAACATTCAATAAAATTTGATCAAATTTCAGTTACACATATAATATTTAAAAATAGCATTTCTTTCTGAAATTCGATTCGATAACACATATTTTCTTTCGTCATTTTCCAAATTATCCCTTTTTATACTGAATAATTCATTCTTTTTGTTTTTGATTCTTTTTTAATTTCTTAACATTAAAGCGGATGAATATAAAATTTGCATTTCTATAAACCATTCCATTTTTTCAATTTTTTATAGTAAATTTTGGTCCCAAAAATACTTTTACCAAGTAAAATATTAGTTGAATTATTGCATAAGCATATAATATGATAAAATGGGATAATGATATTATCATTTCCTCATTGTAATGCTATGAGAAAATGATATTAATGAAACATTGACAGATTTTTGATTAGAAAATTTGTATTAAAAAAAACATTTGCACCGTCGTATGTGCTTGCTAAAATTACTGTATTATTTAGTACGATTCATTTTGCAACATTACATTAAATTTCTTAATTAAATTTAAAATTTTTGTTATTGTCATAAATTGATTTTTAAAATAAATTTTATGCATTTACATGTGTATCATATTTATTGCCGGAAATGACGAAATTTATTTAAGTATGACGTAAAATGTGGTCAGTTTACCACATGGATTCATTTTAAAAGAGTTCAATTGTTTAAAAATTTGACTCAGTTAAAACAACTAATTGGATTAAGCCTGAAAAATATTCAAATAAACAACATTTGCTCATTCATTGTATGATGAATCAAGATTTTATCAAGAAATCATCCAAAATGCTACGATATTAATGTAATTATATATTTGCTACATTTATTTGATATTTGAAGATGAAGAAAAATTTTTTAACATGAATTTTTGAAGGATGAAAAATAATTTGCATGATATTTTGTCCAGGAACACATGTTCGAGTGTTGTTGTTAGCGTAAGTTCAGGAAGTGGTGCCGAATTACGTCGCTCACGTACTATCCGTGAAAATGATTCTAAACGAATCATTACACCTGCTATAGCAGAGGTGTGTCAATTATAATATTTGATGATGGAATGAAGTGGGAAGGATGGTATTGATATGATTTACATAAAAGTTTCGGAGAAATCAATTTTATTAAAAAATTTCAAATATTTCAAATTATGTAGAAAAAAAATTTTTTTTTTGTTTCAGCAAGAAGTTCATCCGTCACCACCGACAACGAGCAGTGTATTTTCAGCAGGAAAACGAAAAATAAGACTTCCAAGGTAAGTATATTTATTCGACGCTTATTGAATGTTAAATTTATTTAACATTGATAGCAACATCTAAATGTATCAATTTAATTTTCAAATGTTAAGCAAGTTTAAATGGATGAAAAGAAGAGCATTATCATGTCAAGTAAAAGAATCATTTAACTTTACAGACAACTTTATTCGATGTCTTCCTCGGAAGATGAATTGCCATCAACATCAAATGGTAATAATGAAGAAGTGGTACCACGAATTGATGCAGAAATCAGTTCCGAAAAAGGTTCCATATTGCAAAAAAATAAAATAGTTGTCAAATAATTATTTTAATTTCATAGTAATCACAATTTCAGTATAAATACATTATAGCGATGCTAAAAAATAGCTTTTACAGATATTCTAAGGTATATTTATGGTTCACAAAAAATGCGAAGTGGACGTAAATGTTAGTTTTAATTATCAAATTTGTTCAAATATTCTTCAACATCATTCTTTTTAATAAAATTTTATTTATGGCATATAATATTGTGAAGTGATAAAAATTCATTCTTTTTATCATTATGAGCCTGATAATTTTTGCGATAATATAATAGCTTATCAGGATTTCTTGCACTTCATAGCATATTGTTTAGTTCATATAAAAATACGGAGTAGAAAACGTAATATGTATTTAAAAGATAATTTAATAAGCATCATTACGGATATTATCAAACAATTCAATTCATACTTTTATCTCTCAGGAAATATTTTTTTAAAAATTTTATATTGTCTTTCCGCATTTTTTATTCATTTCAAAAAATCATGTCAACAAAAGATGTTAACATATTTACTGTTTGTAAATCTAATTAGTTAATTAAATCAATGAATTGATAATAGCTAAATCACAATTGACATATTTTCCTCTATTTCACATCGTTTAAAAAGCTTTTTCCTCTCTTTCCTTCTTCTCTCTTTCTCTCTTTTCTTGCAAATTTGCTACTTTATAAGGAATGGAATTTGATGTGATATTGCATACAATCTTCTCCGATCATTTTGCCAACTTCAATTTGTGAATGTCAACGAGGTGGCAATATGTGTTCCATTCCATTTTCTCTCTTTGCTTTTCCTTTCACATTTTTTTCTCAAAAATGGAAAATTACAAAAAACGGCTTATTTATTATCTTTATTTTCTTTTGCAGTCGGATTTTTTCCTGTTTTTTTTTTGTAAATTTTCGAATTAAATATTACATGCATTATCATTGAGTAGAAGTGATAGTAGTTAAATAATGATGAAAAAATAAATGGTTTTTATTTTGTGTTAAAGGAAAGAAAATAAAATTTCTTTATTTCATATCAATAATCAGCAATCTTTTAATTCTTTCATATCATATCAATAGCGAGTGTATAAATCATTTTTCAAAACTATCTCATAGCATCAAGTAGTGATCAGCTTTAGGATGATTATGCTCATTTCTATATATATACAATAAATTAACATTTGAACCATTTTTAATTATCATCCTTGATCTTAGTCATCATTATAATTTATTTCATTTCAATTATTGTTATATTTGCCTTAATTAATATAAATATGCGTAAAATTATCTGTGTTAATGGATTTATCACTTTCTTCAGTAATTTTTTAAATCAATAATTAAAGTATAGCTTAATTATTATAATTTGCTTATCGTGAAACTCATGAAACTATGATTTATTATTCTTGAATAAAAAAATGTGTAAAAAGATTCTTGTCTAATTTAAATATTAAAAATAAATGATAAAAGAAATTTTTGGATAAACGATAAATGATTGGAGAAAGGAATAAATCATTGAGGAAATTTTTAGATAATGCTATTAAAATATTTTATTTTTTTAAAAAGCAGCTGTAAATGCAATATCTGACAATTAATTGTATAAATTTAAAAATTTCCGACAAAAGAATTGCTACTACTGATATATTTGTTAATATTTTAATCAAATATATATTATCGGTAAATGAATTATTTTTTTTAAGTTCCGTCTGATTCAAATCGTAAATTTCAACGTAGTAACGAAGTGATGAATGTACCGATGGTGCAATCAACTATTTTACCTGGTGATATGCTTGCAGCTAAAATACGCACCTATCTTTCTGTATGTTTCATGCATTCTTTTTTAATCAAAAAATGGTAAAATTTATTTTTAAAAAGATGGGATTTTTTCGAATGTTTTAAATTGTTATTATGAATAAAATGTTTAACTTCAATAAATTTATGTTTGATATTTTTAAGGCAAAAATTTTTCATAAATCCATTTTAAAATTTTATTTACAGAAGCATGCAATATAAATTTTATTTTAAAATATATCCGAATTTAAGCATCCTGTAACTTGGCAACCATCAGCAGATCAACATCGCTTGATCGGACACATGATTTTACACAAGGCAAGCGGTGCACAAGATCTCGGCTTAAAGGTTTTTTTTATTCCCAATGATATTATATTTAATATTTCCTTATGATTAGTGAATTTTTAAAAATTGGAAAATTATGATAATTAAATATAGGTGATAAAGAAAAGGAATTAGATAAAAATTTAAGTTAAACAAAAAGGAGAATCATGTTGAAGATTTAATTTTTAAGTTATCGCTACTGAGAAAAAAATTGCAAAAAAAGATTATATATTCTTTTTAGAAATTACCATACAAATAATGATACTAAAAATGAATAATGTATTCATTCTCAGATGTTGCATTACTTTTTATTACTTATCTCTTCAAATAAAAATTGCTATTAAATTATTAGTTGAAAATCAATCCTCAATACATGTATGTCTTGCAGCCAGTACAGAAAAAATTTTAGACGAAATAAATCTTATAATTTCTAAATCTTAATTTGATTAAAATTTAAACTATTTTTGCCATTATAATATTAAAATTTCGTAGATAAAAAATAAAAAGTTCTTTACTTATAAACATACCCCTTTATTTACATACAATTTTTTACTTGTCTACAATAATTTTCTTATAATATGCACATAAACATACATATATTTTCTTTTAAAATAAAATTGTTTGAATGAAAAGATATTATTGTAATTTACATTTTTTCAATTTTTTTTGTCACCTTTATAAAATATCATTTAGGAATGCAATAAAATTAATGATGATAACTGATATGATCATATTTTATCACAATATTTATAAGTGATCTCTTAGTTGTACTTCTTACTTTCTTTACTCTTAAGTTTGTTGTACTTTTTTTTGCTTAAAATGTCAAAAAATATCATATCATTAATTCATTCTCGCCAATAGCACATTATTTTAAAAAATGAAAACAAAAATTGATAGTATTTAATTATTTTGAAGTGTGTTTAATAGTCGGTGAGTTTATACGATAATAACAAATAATGAAGGGATAAATAATGAAAGGATATGTCAATAATTTAGCTATGCCTAAAATCCAAAAAGTAAATTATTTGAATGTTTTGTATGGAAAAAATGCGATAATATAATCAAAAAGATAAGCTGTAAAATGTTAGCGTAATTAAGCGTTTCTCTTTTTGATGTCGAAAAATAAATTTACCAAATTCTTTTTCCTTTTTTATAAGATTAAACAAAAACAGATGAAGGTGAAGGCTTCAAATTGCTTAATCAAAAAATTTAAGTACTATAACTAATTTATGCTTGATTAAGCTTTTTTTTTTAGAATAGAGAGCATTATCTTATTTATTAGGCGAGAATATGCATATATGCAAATGTGAGTAGTTCTTTACTGAAGCCGTAAGGAACAATTATTCACATTTGCATATATGTACTCATTGAAATGGACAAAAATATTATGCATAAATGTTTAACATCCGTGTGCACATGTATTATTTTTAAATTTCATATGCATTAAAACTCATTAACTGAGCTAAATAATTATTGATTTGTAAATGCAATGAAAAGGGAGAAAATTTTTTTTTTCGAATATAAATTAATGAAAAAGGTTAAAATTTTTAACATAAATTTACTGTTCTAAATAGCCAAAAACTTTACAATTAAAGAAAAATCTAACATATTTTTAAACTTCAAATAATAAATTTTATATAGTAAGAATATAATTTAGTGATTTTGCCAATACATTAATTAATTTATATCTACATTAAAATTATTCCATAACGATCAGTGATGTGATAGAGTGATAATGATTGTAAATTCAGTTATCAGCAGATCAATAAATTGCATCCGTTTTAGTTTTTAATATGAAAAAAACATCTAATTGATATAAATTTTTTGGATTAATTAAAGTTCTAAAATATCTTTTTTAAATCAGAAAAGTCGGGAACGAACAGAATTTAGCAATTTTTATGATTATCTTGCAAAGATTAAGCTTTGATTCAGTTTTTAGAGGAGAAAGGAGAAAAAGGTCTAGGATCGATTTGATGAGTATTTCCATTTATAATTAATGTTTTCCCCTCGAAATACTGACAAAGGCCCAGAAAGATACTGCGGCAAAGAATACTTAATTTATGATTACTTAATGATCGGTATTTTTATTCCTATTCAAATATTAGTATCGCAAAATAGAATTCATTAAAGGACGACCAATTTTTGTTTCTCATCGGAGATGCTATATTAATCATCGTAATTTTAAATTGTGATATTAATAATTAAATTTAATCGTTTTAAGGTTGTTGGAGGTCGACGATCAGATACCGGTCGTTTAGGCGCATTTATCACACGAGTAAAACCGGGATCTGTTGCTGATACTGTTGGTCGTCTTCGAGAAGGTTTATTTTCCGAATATTTCAGCAGCAATTTTTTCATAATTTGAGCGATTATTTCATCTATATGATTTTTTTTCAAGTATTTAAATACATATTTAAAGATATGAAACTTACAGAAAAAAGTGATATGAAGAATAAGACAGCGAAAAAATAATAAAATGCAGGAATATTGATGATAATAATAATTTACTTACTAATTATTAATTAGCAATGTTTAATTCATTTGAATTAAAAGAGAGAAAAAATCATTGTTTATAACAAAAATAGGAGACAGAAGAGAGAGAGAGAGAGAGAGAGAGACGGTAATTTCAGGTGATGAAGTATTAGAATGGAATGGTCGTCAGCTACAAAATGCTACATTTGATCAGGTGTATGATACGATAAATTTATCAAGAAATGATACACAAGTTGAACTGATCGTTTCACGCTCAATGAGGTTTCAATTTCGTTCATTTACAAATGAAATTATATATTATGATTAATGAAAATATATCAAAAAAAGGTTTCCAATTCATTCAATTTATTAATCCAATCATGGAATCAATTTCAGTCTTATCATTTATTCTTAAAATTATCACAAATTTAATTATTTCTTTTTCAATCTAATTTTTCCAAATTATTTTCTATTATCAAGTTTTTTTTTCTTCTTTGGATACTTACTCTAACGATACAATAATAATTTAGTAGCAATGATAATAAAATAATACAGCTTTTTTTGAATGCATTCATTTTACACTATTTTAATTATTGTCTTATACAGTTAATTTAGTCATTCAAATCAATCGATCAATATTAACATTAGGCAGAATATTTGTTAAAAAATCATTAAAGTTTCATTTAATCATTTAATGTAAAGAACTATCGAAAAAATTAATATTTAAATGCAACTTATGCATATGTGTGTGCATGTGTGTGTATGTGTGTTTGCGTATATGTGTGTGTGTTATTCAATTAATTTTAAAGCTCTGTCTATAAATCTTCATAGAACGTTTTCGGTTTGTGTTAGATGTCATCCTAAAATGAATTTCACTATGATGAAATAAATTTATGATGAAATGAAATATCCATCGATCGATTTAAATTGTGAGTAACATTCTCTTTTTCCTTTTTTTTCATATGAAAAATTCATTATTAAATGTTTTGCAGTGCACCGGGTGGTGATGATTTCCTGGATGTACAAAGGATGCTACCGAATCCGGCATTTCTCCCAACCGGTTAGTATTATAATTAACATGATCAAATGAAACCGAATGAGTGGAATAATTTTACTGAAAGCATTTTATTTCAAGAAAAAAGATAAAAAACGAGAAGATAATAATTATAATTTAAATTGTAAAAAAATTAATCTCTGGCAATAAAAAAATTAGTGCGATATTTTTAAAAAATTAAAAAACGAGGATTATGATGATGATATTCAATCTATTTTATTATATTTCATTATAAATTGATTTGAAAAACTAAAAAAGATTTTTTTTTCTAGCACTAAATATAATAGATTGCAGTTAATAACACTTATCGATCACAAAATCTTATATGTTATCATAATTGATCATTTCTGATTTCGATGACAATCTTTGTTAGAAATTAGTTTGTTTAAATGAAATTTTTGAAGTAAAAGATGAAAATTTATTTCGAATAATTATTAAGATGATAATGATAATGATAAGGTTAAAATGAAAAATTAAGCCAATTGATCAAAATTGACCATATAAATTTGAAATATTTTATTAAATAGTTTCAAATTTGATAATAGAAGCTGAATTTCTTGAATTGTATCCTCATTCATGGGGATTACTTCTTTACATTTTTTTTCTTTTCTCATTTTCGGTTGAATAATTTTACTTTGATCAATTTAACGACTTCATTTATGTAATTGATCTTTTTTTAAGTCTATTAAAAAATAACATTAAATACAGGAGGATCAAGAATCGGTGATTATTATCTAAGCAATTCATTAGAGCCAAGTGGTTTTTCGCATTCGCAATCCAGAACGGCTTCAACATATATGCAACCTTTTATTAATGTACCTTCAAATTATCATCCTGCATTGATACGTAAAGTAACTGGTTCACCGTTGTATGATACTGCTGGTAATTACTACTCATATCAATGATACTGATATTGATATCAGCTCTTATTTACGTATTTCATTTAATTAATTTCCCAAGTTAAATAAGCTAGTTTAATTAAATTAAATTATCTGAACATATTCGGAAATTAGATCTAGTAATTTTTTGTCAGATTTGTTATGCAAATCCTTTTTTCTCTGCTGCAAACATTATTTATTATTAATTAATTATTTTTTGAAATTTTTGAAATGGAAAAGAAGCAGAACAGGAGATAGTTATGATAATGAAAAAATTTTCTGGCTTTATGTGAGCACAAATAGATGAGACTTCAGGTTAATGATATCCAAATTTAGTCAAAAGTTATCATATCACTTTCGAATGGATTAATTTCATATTTATTGATAAGAGACAAGCAGACAGGCATATATTATAAAAAGCTATTTAGGTTTAGGCCCATCGAAAGTAATTGTACCTGATGATTACTGTGGAAGGCAATTTGGAAGAGGGCAGATCTTCGGTCAGATAGAGGTAAATTATCATTATGCTGTTTGGGAGATATGATGAATTCTTCGGAGAATTTGTTTTGTTTTGTTTTAAAAAAGAAACCAATATCAGATGAACAGAAAAAAGAATTTAAAAATCTTTTAGAATTTCATAGATTTTTTCATAATGGAATAATTTTAATTAGAGTTCACGTAATGCGCATTTTATTGTAATTGTAAATTGGCTAAATTTATATTTTAGATTTCCTTGTATTATGGTGCTACGGAAAGACAACTTGTAGTCACTGTAAGATATGCAATAGATTTACCGCCTCGATCTGATGGTGCCGCTCGTAATCCGTACATCAAATTATTTCTCCTGCCGGATCGAAGTGAGAAAAGTCGTCGACAGTCTGCGGTACTTGTGGAAACATGCAATCCAATTTGGAACGAACCATTTTACTATCACGGACTTACCAAACCAATGTTGATGGAACGTGTTCTCGAGGTTTTTCTTTTTTGCTTGTTCCTATTTTCGTTCTTTTCAAGAAAACCGATAAGCAATACTTTTTAATCCATTATTTCGTTAATAATCAATTTGAATACTATTTAACCAACATGAAATTTTCTGAATAATTGCAAAAGTTTATGGAAAAAACTCATGTTAATATAGCCAATTAAAATTAATCTATAATTTTTAATTGGACGTAAACTTGTAAAATTTGACAGGATTTTTACTTTATTACCCTTGGAAAATTTTTCAATTTTTAGATCATATTGTATTTTGTATATATTATCGACACAGCATAAATTTAGCAGATGTGTATCATCGGAATACAAGCAAAGAAAAAGTTAATTTGTGGAAAATTTTAATTTTTAAATAATTGAAAATTAATCAATTTGCAACAATTGTATAAAAATTTTTCAATTATTTAAAATTTATTTTAAGGTGACAGTATGGGATTACGATCAATACGAGACAAATTCGTTTATGGGTGAAGTGCTGATCGATTTTGCGATTGCCCAATTAGACGATGAACCATTTTTGTATACATTGGTTGATATGGATGAAGATAATCCACTTAGAGCGGTTGACTTTTTATTTTCATGACTTTATTTTATTTTTCCTTGAAATTTTTATACAAGGTAGTTTGGCAAATATGCAAGTTAAAAGCAAAAATATTTTAAAAAATTCATGGTTCAAAAATGAAAAGAAGGCTTATAATCCTAAATTATGGCAGTAAAGAATCTCTATAATTGATAGCAATTTCAGAAGTTGCAACAACGTCGTCTCAATACTTATCACGCATCTATACGTCCACCAAGTGAAATGGGACATTATCCGAACATTCATCAACAACGAGGTTTGTATGAACATTTCTGTTTTCTAGATAAAAGAGTTATCAGCCTTATTATTATTATCATTTTCAGCGTGTGATTACACGACAGCTTATGAAGCATATCCTCCTGGATCACGACAGGTATCATTTGATGCAATTATTCATTAAGTAATTTATGAAGGAAAGGAAATTACCGTTTCGTATTATTAGATTCAGAAACAGTCATTATTAAATTCTGTGCATATCAAAAAAAAGCAAACTACGAAGAAGAAATAGAATTCAAAAATTTGAAACAAGAAAGAGGAATTGAAATCAAATTGGTATTATTGCTTTTTTTATATCTGTTTTTTTAGAAAAAAGAATTTTTTAGTAAATCTTATATTTATGAGAACAGATAGTTTGAATTATTTATTAATTCAATCATATTATATTCGATAGCACGAAATTAAAAAGAATTACTTGTATAAGTTTAAGACATACCTTATTTAAAAAAAGATAAACTGAAAAAATATTATACTTGTCTGAGGAATTTCTGAAAAAATAATAAGTTTTAAATAGAATGCTTGATAAATAGAATGATGACATTTAAAATTTTGAAAATCCATAAATTATCACGAAAGATGAAATAATAAATCAATGAATATTTTGATTTAGAACCAATATCCGTAAATATTTTGTTTATCGTTTTATTCTTTTCTTCCCCTTTATTTCTTATTATTTTGTTTTTTGTTAAATGAATATTTGCTTCTAATTCCTTTTTAAATTTTTTAATTCCATTTCCTTTCAAATAGTTTGCTTAATTTTTTATTCCCTTTAGTCATTACAAAAACATGGAAAATTAATATTTTAATAATACGATAACGCATACAATATCTTTTAAGATAAATTTCTAGTTTTGAAATATAAAAACTTTAGCTTTTATATAAGCTTCTAGTAATAAATTTTTAAAAAATTTTTATTAATTATAATTTATAGCAGCATATGATACATTCAAATAATGAAATGCGCCGATCACGGACGTATGATCGAAGTGGAGCACGAACTGAGGAAGACTGGACAGTAATATATCCATCAGGATATTTATCCGATCATGGTTACAGTAATCATATGCCTGTTCGTTATTCACATCGAGACCGAAGACCGCGATCTGCTACAGCAATGCGTCCATGTAGCTATTTCTAATACTTGTGATTATTCAATATATTACTGTAAACGATAGTTTATCGAAAACAGAAAAGCTATCGTTGAGTTAATTCGGCAGGAACAATTAGCTTTTCAATTATTCATTACATTATATCTTCTGATGATAAAAAGTCTTTGACAGAAAAGATAGTCTTCCTAAATAGCTGTCTATTATTAAATTATATACTCAGCAATTTGCTCCAAATTTTAAATATTTTACAACATTTTAACAATAAAATTATTTGCCAAATTTTAGTTTTTTTAAACAAACTTTTGTTTCCATAGCAATAAATTCTGGTCTTGTTTATAGTAGCAGATATGCGAACTTACAATCGAAATTTGCCACCAGCTCCATGGACTGCAGATGAAGACGATGGTCAACAGATAACAGTTCCACATCCAGGTTCATTTTTTTAAATAATTTTTTTTCTTTAATGTACTTTTCTGGATAATTTGATAGAGTTGATGGGATTGGTTGGGATAAATTATTTACAGCATAGTTGCAGCACAGGCGCTAACAAGATTCCCTCGAGATCCGCGATCACCCAATGAAAGATTAAGGTTAGAAGCAATGCATGAACAACAACCTGGATATGGAAGTGATGGATCAGAAACCATAAGTATACATTCAGCACAAAGTATGCCTGCAAGGTACATCCTATATTATAACTTGCATATAAGTTTATAAATCTGACTTATTGAGGATTTCATGCAATATTTTTCGAGAATAATTCAACATGAAAATATCCTCACGCGAGATTCTGAATAACTTATGCTTTAATACTTGTTTATTAAATTAAGTATTAGTGCTTCATATATTTGTAATGAATAGTTCAAATAGTTCTAAATTTAAATTCATCTTTTTCGTTTTTTTTTTCTTTTTTATGAAGGCAGCCAACGCGACGTATAGCTAATGGTGAAAGTGAGCAGGTAAGTATGAATCAACAAATGGATGATAACGTTGAAGAATATATCGAAGAAGGAGCTATAAGTGATTCTGTGATGGCTAAAGGAAGCGTCACGACAGCTACCAAAGATCGAAAGAAAAGTTTAATGACAAGACTTATTCCGGGTAGAAATGCTCCACTTGGTAAGCTTTCTGAACATATTAATAAGTTGACAAGATTTTTTGAGAAATCTGATGATAAATTATATATATCAGTAATCAATATTATTAATTGAAAACGGTTCTATCTCAAATCAGTGTTTCTCTCTGTCTTTCATTTTTGAATAAAATTGTATGTTATTAAACTTTTAGCATAGTTTTTTAAAATTCATTTTCCAATTAATAATCAACTTGAATAAACTGCCAATTTTTAAAATGCAATATGTATCAGATAGTTTTTTTTTAATGTTTAAAATTATTTTTTTCATCTTTTTCGTTATTTTTGGAGAAGGCAAAAGGACAGGATTCCAACGATCAGAAGAAGTAGGTGTACCGGAAGGTTTAACTGTACCCGGTGATTATCTTCAAGCTCCGTTCACGAAGCAAACTTCGAAGGAATCAACAGATTCATCTCACAGTGATAAGTTAGTATATTTACAATGATTATTGATTTATTTGTTAAATTAAAAGTGAATTTGAATTTTGAACACCAATTCAAACAAATTTAAAAAGGCGATGTACGCCGAAATCGTAAATAAATGAGATAAAGTTAGCATCAATGGATCGAAAGGTCAAGAATTGTGTTATTTTGCACTGTTAAAACATGAATATATATATATATATATATATGCAAATGAAAATTATCAATTGAACGATGTGTATAAATTTTACATTTCAGTTGGGGACCTATTTTGACCGATGGTCCATTGGGCAGTTTTGTTGACAGTTTAGGACCTGGCCAGGTGAATTAATCTTTTCAATTGCAGATATTTCTGTATACGAATGATAGCTTACCAATTTTATTTAATTTGTCATAATGACTTCATTATGATAAATGAAATATTGACTGGTGACTGGATAAGTAACAATTATTATTTATAGGTTGTGGGTCGACAAGTTTTGGCAAGTCCAGTGCTTGGTGAAATACAAATAGGTATAGCAGCAGGTAGAGTAGGCATTGATGTCGAAATTATCCGTGCTAAAAATCTTGTAGTCAAACCAGGTGTAAAAGTTAATCCAGGTATTGAATATTCTTATCATACTGCAAAGTAATTTATATGCATTTTTACTTTTACATAAAAATGAGAATTTATCTGAAGAAAAAGTTTATACTGTTATTGCAAACTCATATGCAATTAAAATCTCAAGAATTTTTAGTGAAAAAATTAAATCAACAAAATTACTAAATAAATCTTTATAGAAAGTGTTAAATAATTTGATAAAATAAAGGAAGCATGAAAAGTTTTAGAATTTAGTCCATTCATTTAGGCTAATTTTTTCAGCTCCATACGTGAAAGTGTATTTATTGGAAGGTAAGCAATGCATAGCCAAAGCAAAAACACGTGCAGTAAGAAGAACCACTGCGCCAATATTTCAGCAACATATTGTTTTCTCTGAGACATCACGAAAGAAAATGCTTCAGGTTCTCCAATTATAATTAAAAGAAGAATTAGTGAAAGATTATGATTAATTTTAAATAATTGAAAGCTTTATTTGTCGAATGTAAAAACGTAAACATGGATTCAGTGTAACAGTAATGGATAGTAGTAAAATGATGAATTCAAGATTTAGATCAATGCAAAATGAATGAATGAATGAAGAGAATATAATAGTATTAATTGATATTTAGATAACAGTTATGGCTGATTACGGTCGAATGGAACGAAAATCATTCATGGGTATTGCACAAATCCGATTGGATGATTTAGAATTGAGTGCTGAACCGGTGGTTGGTTGGTACAAACTGTATCACAGTTCCAGTCTAGCTGGTACTGGACCAGTTCGAAAAGATAGTGATACAAGTTTAACTGAAATAAAACAATGATTTGGTCTCATGACACAACTGTTTTTAAAAGCCTTCTTTCCTATTTTTTTCATTTTTTCTTTCCTGGTTTCATTTAGAAAAAAGTGAATTCACTTTCTATCAAAATAAGAAAAATTTAATTGATGAAGTTTGAATTTCACTATATCTCAATGTACTGTAATTAATATCGAACAATAATAAATTATTCATCCTTTTATTTCCTTTTGTTGTTTTTATTTCTTTTCTGTACTTACAACACAAATATTATCATTGATCACCTAACTCTTTAATATATGCGGCAATAAAACTACACAACAGGAATGAACTTAAAATATGGTAAATTCAACATTGCATTGCCAGTAGTAAAACGAAATTTGACCTTAATCGCTTGCATAAATCAACAATATCATTAACATTTTAATATAATTCTGGTACAGTTGTTCTCTTTATTGTTTCTATGTACTCGTTTGTTGTTTGATTTGAAATTACTTAACTTTTTGTATAGAATAACTCTAATCGAGAAATATTAACGTTTCAAAAGTTTCGCAGTAGAACAAAAACAAATGAGCTGTTTCACAAAAATCTTGAAGAAAGATAAATGAAACCAGGATTAAGTGTCTTCCAGGCTTGTTTCATCATGCAAAAACAGCATTTGTATGCAAAATGAAATTCGTTTCATATATTTTATAATATCTTTTCTACCAAACATCATTGCTGTTAATTATATTTATGATTGTAATATTTCTTGAAAAAACATAACTGAATATACATGTATATCTTTTAAAAATATTAATTTTACTGAAGAATGACAAAAGCAATCATTTCTTACATTTTTATATGGTTCAAAAATAATACATGAAATTCTCGCGTAGAAACATTTTTGCGTTTGACCTTTCCATATGTAATAACGCTTTTCCATTATACAATTATGCATTATAGTACGAATGTGTATAACATCATTATTACTAACAAAAAGTTGCTTTTGGTCCTTTTTTTCTCATCGAGTGACCATCTTTTTTTGTATGCATGCTTTTTTTTATTGTTGCAAGTTTACTGAATATGATTAATTTTAGTGATTTCTCATGGATATTAACTCATAGACAGGAAATTGACCAGTTAATTTTAAACGAATTTCAACGTCAAACAGTTTATCGGATCACTTCACCACAAAGGGAAAAAAAGTTCATCTCTACGCATTGTGGAATTCATTATTCTACTTTCAAGTGATTAATTCGGATATAATTGACCGCAGCCTCACTATACTTTCTAGCCCTTTTCACAACGAAATTTCCTTTTAAAAAAAACTCAAACCAATAATGTTTTCTTATAAGTATTAAAACTATCGAAGAGATTTTCTGTGTACAATTTCCTAAGTGGTCTTTTCATTTATTTCTGAGAAAATCATGAAAGTATACGAGATGAGAATTACCCAAACAAAATAATGGAAATTCTTTCTGAAACAATACAACTTCTGATGGTAACCCTGCATAAAAATGAATGGCTTGAAACGATTTAAACACTCGCATCTTACAAGAAGCATGTAAATCCAATTCACTAAACAAGCAATCAAAAAATGAAGCAGTTAGCGAAATTAACTTTTATTCATAAAAGTCTTTAACTACTTCTGCAAATCTTAAAAATTCTTTTTAATGGAAAAATAAAGAAAGCGCGAAATACAGTAATAGAGTAATACAATAGTTATGAGATCAACAATTACAAACGTCTCTTCTTTGGAAGAGTACCTCCTGCCATTACAATATTTGCTTCCTGAGATGATCGCTTCGTAGCACTTTTCACTGTAGATGAATTTACAAGGGCCTCATCTTCTTCCATCTGATCATCGTCAACTTCAGTTTCCAGTGAAATCGAATAATCGTCACCACTTTCCATTTCAAGTCGTTCATCTCTCTTATCCTCATCACTCTTAAAAAACGATAATATTAAAATACACTTATTAGAGTTAAAGAGACACCATGGCAATCAACTGCCGTTCACAACATACCTCCAGCGCTAAATTTTGAAAATTTTCAAAGTTTGTATAAATACATATAATCATTAGCAAAAGAATACTGCCTAATCGCCGTTTCATCTTTCTTTTAGAAAAAATACTGCAGTCATGATAAATGAAAAGAAATTCAGAAGAAACTAGCGGTTTTCCTTGTTACCTTCAATGCAGCCAAAATTTATCCCGACTTAGTTAAATACGATGTATATAATAATACACTTATACTAAGCAACCCGCGCCATTAGTGATATTCAAGAGAATAAGTAAGCTTACATTGGATTCGCTTGACCGCTGTTGATGTTTCGGTTCCCACAAAGCATTTCGTACAAAGCTTCTCGCTGCTCGTTGATTCAAACAAGGTGCTGTTTTTCGTTCTTCCAACTGTTTTAACCGTCCCATATATTCTTTCGTTCGGTTCTAAACAATTCATCTAAACTCATCCTTGGGTCATTGTATAATCAGTACTTATGTAAAACTAAACATTACAGAATGATTTAAGAGGAAGAGAGGAGGGGAAAAAAGCTTTGAAGAAATCTTCAAAACTATAAAAAAGAAATGTAGATAAAGCCCACAATACTTTTATAAAATGCTGAGAAAAAAATTAACAGCAAATCAGCTAACAATTTCATTTTGCAAAAGCTCATTATTCTTTGGTTTTTGTCCATGTGTACATAGAAGCATCCAGTATAGCGAATTAATCACAAACACGGACATCAAATCGACTTCTAACTTTTCTAGCGGTGGCCTCTAAAATTTGTTTAATGCAAAAAGATCCAAATAACAAAGATTTTCTGGAAGTGATAGCAATAATTAAAATGTTTAAAATCACACCTGTCGATTGCTAAGAAATCAATCGATATTATTACTTATCAGGATGAAAGTAAATACAACAAAATATAACGATAGAAGGGAAAAAGATGGGAAAAAAGAGTATAGCCAAAACAGGACACAGTCCAGTTCCAGTAAACCAAGAGTTGCTGAGCTGTCAGCAAAGAAGATGAGACTCTAACGTGCTGACCAAAAAGATCTACCCTCATATGTAAGTTAATATAGAAGGCACAATTTCCACAAGTTGACAAAAGCGATCACTAAACTATTTAAAGCGAATTTAATGACAGCTAAGGCAGTTCTTCCCAAAAAAGAACTGCCTTTTAACAAGCGACATATGGCCAGTGAATATATCTATTACATGGATGAAGATTATCGGAAAAATTAACTGATATCTCGTGAGTACGTAGGATTAAAATACCACGAATTATCTCCTTGCTTAATAATGACGAGTACAGAGAGGCATGGCGAGAAGAAGCGCAGTAGAAGAACAAACAATGCAAATGGTAAATTAAGTGTAATATCCATTTGTCATGTGAAGGTTCAACAATAATATCCACTTGTCATGTGCGAGTTTAACAATTAGATAAGTAATTGATCCGAGCATTATGGAGCTAATGAAAGATATATATCACTGATGAAAGACTGAAAAAATAATAAGAAACCTGCATGTTCTCCTCCAAAGAATTTGAAAAATGCTTCTGGTAAGTGTCTTCGAGAACTGTTAATGCTTCATTAAACCTTCGCAACTGTTCAACAACTTCTGGCGGTATTGAATCGCCCATCATTAACCTCAAAGAAATCAGGAAATGATCATTCGGGAAATTATACAACTGTAAAGGCTTCCATGTCAATCGGACACAAAACCAACCCATTGTTATCGCGAAACAGTCATTCCGCACTCAACTAAACACAAACATCCATCCCTCAACTCCAACACGGAACTCGCACTCGGCTATCCGCGAAATACTGGCCCGGAGAAATGAGTTGTAACATTGTGGATGGCCGACCAGTTATCAGTGTGTTGCTGATATATTATTTGTTTTTGTTTTGAAATTTCATGCTCTCAGCTATAAACGTTTCATGGGTAGTTCATGTTAGGAAGTATGCACGCACGTTTCACGTTAAAGCACGACGCAGTTTTCAAATGAAGCCTATTTATTCCAATAAAATATAAGGAGAGGGAGGTCTTAGCTTTATATTCATAAGCATACTGTATAATAGTGAAATGATAAGCGTTCTTGACTAGTGGATATATCCGCCTTAGTATTCCATCCATCGATTGTTAGCATCAATATGAACGTAAGTGGAAATCAATGATGACTTTACGTTCATATTACGTTTGCAGCATTTATATCTTGGGCTTGAAAAAAGTGGCTCTTTGTTTAAATTATTCATTCCAAGCAGTAACTTGTATTTTTTCACTATTTTATTCTTTCTTTTATTATACCATTTTTTTAAATGCAATATAATGAGAAGACGGACATTTTCACCATTCTGGCTGAAAATTTCCCCTTTTCCTAATTGCGATTCCTATTTTATGCTGCAAACCACCACTGTTCTTTTCTAAGTTTTCATCGTCATTTTGCCATTTCTAACACTTTGTAAAGATTTCCTACTTTGCTTCAAAGAAATTTATGATGAATTCAATTTGTGATACGTAAAACAGGTATTTGTTTTATGCCTCTCATTGTCTTGTGATATAACTTTCGGATAAGTCGATATATGTAATTACGTACATACATATGTACATATTTTCAATATTTTATGTGTCTTTGTTTGAATAAAATGGTATACTTATATATGTCGTGCTTATCGTTTAACTTAACATTTTCTACTATTGGCATAGTTACCCATGAAAAACAGTAAAAACACATAAAACTTGGGAAGTGGCAGAGAGGTCAGATCATGTCTTTCACTCAATCCATTCTTTGTTAGTATTTGTCAGTGATCAGTGGCCGACTCACAACAATTTTTCATTTATTTCTGAAGCTGGAATATTTTCTTCATCTATATATTATCATAAAAAAAATTACAATAAGATTATGAAATTCTTAATTCTAATACTGTAACATCCGTCGTTTGGTTTCTCTACACATTATCTTTTTCGTCGAGTTCTATTACAAAGTTAAGTTTTAGACTAGTTGATGCATATCCTTGCGAATGTCGCAATTTTATTGGCAGTTGCAAACGAATACACAACACGATGCAAAGAATGGAGATGAATGGAGTTATATTGGCTTGATCAATGATAATACCAAGGAAGGGTTGCAACAACAACAACAACAACAACAGCAGCAGCAACAACAACAACAACAACAACCCTATTGGTGGCATCAGCAGAATGTTAGTTCATATTTACTTATTTAAAAGAATTCGTCATTATCAGTTCTGCAATCGATGGATGGCTCGGTGGTTTTTTCAAAGGCTTACCACTTTCATTAGAATTCATATAGGTCCGTATATCCATCTTATAGTTGTGTTACTGAGTAAAAAATTTCTTGTCCTCATTATCTGTTGGTAGAAAAATTAAACAAAAATCTCGTAGTGTAATATCAGTGATTATTACCTTAAATGGATTCATTATAATTTTCAAATATGATATGTCCATAGCGATAAATTTATGTTAAATGATCCGTTATTAGGTGGTTTAATCCAAGTAGAGAAAGGATTTGTTTTATGATTTCAAATCGAAACAGAGAAATATGCTCGAATATAATGATGATTGAGAAGCAAAAACTTATAAAAATAGTACGACTGTGTTCTTTTAGCAAACTGGAACGGATCCGTATAGCGCGGCAGTATTTGAAGGTTTTCGGGCATCTTCTGGTGATGGCGATTGTATGGAAAGTTGGCAAACATCGACAGCACCTAATAGCTGTAGCACATTTTTCACGCAAGAACTGCCGGAAGAAATTTCCATGGTTGGTATTTTTGATAATAGGAGAATTGCTTAAGCAGATTTTGCATTCTACTCTGACAGGTGGCTACTGCTGCTATGGAATGTTAATTGCGAAATTAATTCAAAAATAATATTTGTGGACTGATGTATCTCCGAAATATTATTTGAAATCTAGGAAAAAACGACTCTACCTGAAATACATGAGCAACAAAATGAGCAAGTACGATACGGTATTCATCAACCAATTTTGGATTTTGAATATAGCATTGCTGGTCATAATGCAGAAGTACGTTACTGCCTTAGATTTTCACTTTAGTGATATTACATTAATTTATTTGAAATCAAATATATGATTAGATGAAAAATTTGGACTGCTATTAAAAAAAATTCCTTTGCAGAAAGTAACTGATGAAAAATTTAATAAGCAGCATGTTATGATGGAACTGGTTCCCGGTGATGATGCAGAAGGTATAAATTTGATCTGTCATATTTTTAGAGAATTAGCCATTGTCGGAAGATGATAATAAGCGTCAGTATATCAAGTATGCTTCCTTTTCGATAATCCCTTAAATCGCATGGGCCAGTAATGTGCGTAAATCCAAAAAATAAAAGCAGCATCCTAAATTATTATTATTATTTTAGTTTGTTTTATTACTTTTTTCAAGTTTGTTTTTTTTAAGGGATCATCCTAAATTATTGTTTTTTAATTTGTTTGTTACTCTGGATATACTAAATATTAAAGTAAGAAAAGGATTTTTTAGATAATAAATTTAATGATAATAAAAAAACTTTTTTCACTTCTTTAATTAATTATAATTATCTAAAATCTAAGAGATTAGATTTGTAAAAGAGTTCTTGCAGTATTATTGGATGAAGAGACAAATATTTCAGGTAATATGGCGACAGATACATTGCTACCAGAAGAAAAGGAGCAGTCAGTAAATGAGGTAAACAGTAAATGTTTTCTACTTCCGTAGAAATACTAAAAATTGTTCAGAAGATTATTAGAGGTATGAAATGAAATAGAATGAATTACTTTCAGACTGAAAGCGGCGTATCAGCAGTAGCAGTGGCTCAAGTCATTCCTATGATAGCAACATCTATTGTTACCGCGGCAGAAACATCGTTTTCTGCCAGTGTTTTGCATTGTAACCAATCATTTCCAACAACTATTTCTTCTGCTGCAAACATCGCTCGTGTTGGTCCTCTTTCCAACAACGACTCTTCCGGTAAATTCTTGTTTCAATTGCTTTCACTTACCGCTATTACATCTATTGATTCTCACGGAAATGACCTAAGGTTAAAAGCCGGTATAGGAGCTGATTTTTGGATGTCACTATTCATTTGTAGATTGCGTTAAGTGTGTTATTATCTCACTAACTTTTCTTCCGTAATTTCCATTTTCGGTTTCAAAGTTGCGGTAATTTTAGGATTTTCAGTGAATCGTGTTGTTCCAACATTACAGTCAATCATTCCTAATCCGCAGATGCCTCCACTCGCACCTGTTGCAAGTAGTGCTCGCTGTACTCCATCATTAGTTGAAGAAACTGGTGAAACACAAAATACTGCTGCTATTGAGGGGACACAGGATGCTTCGAACATCATATCAGGAACAGATTCTCAACAGCCTAATGCTACCATGGTATCAGCTAGAGGACAACAATCTGTAAATTTTAAAATTATCAAAGTGAACGTTACAAGAAGAAAGAATAAATTTTAAAATTATCAAAGTGAACGTTATAAGAAGAAGGAATTACAAAAGACTGAGCCAAATAAATCATTTTTAAATGACAAGGATAATGCATGTTTTAGGTTGTGAATAGTGCTTCTAATCAACCAAAGAAAGCGGTTGACGAAGCCGTCAATTCATTTTCAACTGATAATGTCCAAGGGATGCGAGAACAAAATGAATTGAAACAAATTTTAACGAAGGTACACTTCTAAATCAGAGTATATCTTTTTTAGCGTTAAATTTATGGTAATCACACTGAGGATCAAGTCTTTATTGTATTTTTAGCTTGAGCTCGCCACCTTCAATTTCGTTGAAAGATGAATTTATAATGAGAATTCAGACATCTACTCCTTGATATATGAATTTGTAATGTGTAATGAATATATAGCTATTTTCTTTTCTCCTCAGATTGTTTTGTTCAGGATGATAAAGAGCATAACACTGCGATATCGGCATCTGCAGAACAATCTACGGATTCAACCGCACCTGAAGATTCCTGCAGTAGACCTATTGAAAAACATAGGGATTCTAAAAATGTCCGAGATCGATATCGAATTATTCGCCAACAGTTTGTTTTTGTTCCTATTCATCTTTCCTGACTGTCATAGAAAATTTCCTTGATTTAAACAAAAGAATGCGAAGGTTAGCTTTATATTTCGAATTTGTTTAAGCTGTTTATTCGTTTTTATTCATCTTATTCTTTCTACCGCTTACGTCATTTTTAGATATCCGGAAGTAATCAAGCGATTGGATCGTTTGAGAATGGAAACTCATAGCTTAGACTGGCGCCCGATGCAGAAAGCTTCATTAGGAGAAATCAGCGAAAATTCTCATAGGTCGTATGTAATATAGGGAATTTTTGATTTTTCGAAAGCTAATCTGTTATACTGTTTAGTCGTTCAGCAAAGTTCATCTTGTGATGACCATTCTATTAATTACATATATCGTTTTTCCGAAATGATCTTTCTAAGCTGTTGGTGTGTACCCCTTGTCAGTAGTAGTTGACATGCCTTTTTCTCACTTTCACGCGTAAAAACTGTATATTTCTATGCTGCATCGAGATTTGGTTTGTATACAGTAATAATATGCTCCTAGTTATGCTGGGATTGCATTTCAGGATCGCAAACAGAAAGCATAAAAATTCAGCAGTGGTCGGCCTCGATTCCAACGTTAATACAAATTCGAAGAATGTTGAAGCGATGTGGGATTCTCGATCGCCTTCCAAAAGTAATCATAGTTTGTTTGATTGATTTTTAATGTTTATTTAGTACGAGTCCACTAATATACATTTGTTAAAATTCTCGAGGACATGATTATTTTTCATCATTTTGCAGTGAATCATTCGTTTACGCTTCCCGACCGTATGAGTTCTGAAGATAACTATGCAAGAAATGATGTTTATTACGGGGAGGACTTCGTCAATTCACTTCGTCGGTATGATTTCACTAGTCATAAACCTGAATGATCATAAGACGGAAGACAGGAGCATTATTACCTTGTTTTTTTTTGAAGAAATCGATATGCTCGCGCTCGAGAATATGATTATTTTTCATCGTGTGGCACTAAATCAGAAATGGGTGAGATAGGACCGTATAGAGGTCCTGCACTTATTAAGCACAAGCATATGATGCAGAATACATATGGCTATCATTCTTCACCCAGTTACCAATACGAGTAAGTTGTTGCATTTCCGATTTTTAGGAAGAGCGAAATTTCGAGTTTTGTAGAAAGCGTAAAAAATATTGGTCTGAAGTAGATCGTGGTACTGAAGATTTTGATCATATAATTTTGCGCATGTGATAATACATTAAATATTAAATCCACAGTGCTGTGCAGGTATTATCCAAGTGGCAGGCAGTCATTGGGACCTCATCTTGGACGACGTACAGCTCATGAATTAGCGATGATGTATAATGTTGATAATGGTCCGGCACGTCGACCCCAATCTTCATTTGACGTACCATGTTCGAAGTATTCTTTTCTTTATTTATTTACGTTTCTGCAGAATTAATATTTCTATGTTCTGATTGTCGGGACTTCAGCTCAGTTAACTTCACGGTTAACTTCACGGTAGGAACTCATAACACATCATATATCAAAGAGATTCAATTCCATACGTCATTTTTTAAATGTATTTAATAATATATATGCTTTTAGTACTAAAGTAACTTTTTCCAAGGTATATTTTTAAGATTCATATTTCGATAAACAACCATATTCTTATGCGTAGCAACTTTCGTTCTGAAACTTTCGTTTGTTGAATTGATTGCTATGATTCTGAAGAATTTTTTTTAGACTTTTATCATTTAACATGAAATGGTTATCACTGGTTTGTAGATACCAACAGTTAAATGAATTTGCTCAGAACTCTCATCAGAATGATAGAGGGCAACATTCGTTTGAAAGTGAGGAAGAAAGTAGTGAAAGTGACAGTGAAATGGCACGAATCCATAGTGAACAGAAAATGGTATAGTTAAAATATCAGTCAATTTTATATTCGCAATCACTTTTTGATTTGTTCAAATTGCTTTTATATTTAGTATGATACATAAAATATATTGACACCAGAAATGTATGAGTGTATCAAGAAGATTAATTTTTTTTTGTGTTAGTTAAATTTCAAAGTTATCGCTGGTCATGCCATATTGCAGTGTAAATGATTTTCTAATAATCTGCAGGCACGGCGGGTTGCTGCAGAGCGTTACAGTGCAATGCCTTTCACAGCTCCAAATGAGTTCTACTATTTTGGTGTGATACAGTTGCCACAGGTAATTCTTGATAATTTAATAAAACGAGAAAACAGAGTTAAGTTAAAGAAACAATAATCATGTTATTTTCTTTTAATAAAAGATGCAAGATGCTAAAAAATACTTAAGGAACGTGTGGAGTATATAATGCGCAGATTGCCGCCACCTCCAGAATACTTTCAATTACCTGCAATTGAAAAGGCCGCTTATTTGTTTTACTGTGTTCTCTACCGTCATCATTATCTCCCGGTGGATTTGTTTCATAAAAAGTTCAACCGAGAATATTTCAGCTACATGTGTGAAGGAGATTCAGCTGAAGTTGCGCTCTGGAAGGTAAACTTATTATCCCAAAGGATTTATTATTTTGTTTTAATTATTCTTAATAGTCTATTCGACGATGCTTTAGATCTGCAAACATACACAAGAAGAATATATAGCTAAGCGTTCAATAAATCAGTTGAAGGCTTATGAAATGTCTCAGAAACAGTTGTTCAGCGATGAACATGAAACACTTGATAGCAGGTTGCTCCATTTATTTTTTTTTTATCTGTTAAAGTGGGGTTATCCGGTAATTGTAGAACTTCAAGTAGTTGCGCAATTAACGACGGCGGTTGGTTTGGGCATCACTTTCTCATATTATTCAAAGTTGAGCATGAAAAAGTCGCTTTCATATAAACAAAATATTGTAAAAGAAAAAGTTAGTGGCCGCAGATAGAGCTTACTAGTAGCATACATGTACAAGTTTGATAAAACCTGCAAAACAGCTGCCCTTTTACCAATGGAAAATCTAACATTTGAATTTCTGAAGTTGCGGTGTTGATTGAATATTATGGATTTGATTACGCTATTTTATTCTCTAACTTTAATTTTGCATGATAAGCAAGTCGAAAATGTTGTAAGTCAAATAGCATCTTCAGGTTTCTTTTTTTGCCATAAAATACGCTTTGCTTTATGTTTCTTTCGAATGCTGTTTATCAGGAAAAAGGTTGCTCATCCAGTCATATTTCTTAAGTTCATTCAATTTTTAAGATATACACAGTATTATTTATGTGCTTGACTGGTGAGAGCTGTTATGCTACACTTAAAAATCTCATTTAAATTTTTCTTGAGTACGCTTTTTTCAATTCTTTTAAAAGTGTTTTAATTTCAATCATCTTCAATTTTTGAGACAAAGTGAACGGGGAAGTCGATGTGATGCTGAAGATGAGAGCGATCAACTCAGCATCGATTCTACCCCTAAAGGTTAGTTTATCAAAAATTAGATTTAAGCATTACTCATTATGAAATTCATCCTCACTTTTTGCCTTCTGTTGACATAACAGTTTTTTAATTTATTTAATTTTCGAAATCTGATGATTGATTTTGTTTTTCAAAATGAGGTTCTTCGAATTGTCGTCTAGTTATTCCAGAGCCTATGAAATTCCGTGTTCCGCATTCATTTCTAAGATTTGGTGTTGGTGGGAAGGCAATCATGCTGAATGTTCAGAATTCAGAGAATGTCTTAGAAATACGTGATCTGAAAACTTTGTTTGGTAATCATAAACTATTGCGTATTTCGAATGCCATTGAATCATTCCGAGGTATATTTTGATGTTTTCTATTAAGGACGTTTTCAATTTTCCCAAATTTTTGGTCTGCAGATCAACTGAAAAAAAGTCATTTGGGATCGTAATCGTAAGCACCTTTCAAGAAATTCATGTAAAACCATTTCCTATGTAAGTTAGTTATCATTTTTACTTTGAATTGTGAAGAACTCTCAGTGATTCGTATTAAACTTTAACCAGCTCTTTACTATAATCCAATATCAGCAATGCGAAAAACATCTATTTGTGTTTTCTTATATTTGAATTTCTTATGTAATTGCCGATTTTTTAGGTCCTCTTATTGCTGGAATCACTCCAACTCATTCCGTACACCTTTATGTGCAGCGTCAAATTGAATTTATTTTAAAGTCGGAAGCTTATCTTTTAAATCCATCAAATAGCTTAGAAAGTGACTGTCTTTTAATATGGCAGCTTTTGGAAATGCTTGTGCAGCAGCAAGGGGTATGCTTTTGACTTTATATTAATACGTTTGTTTTTTAGTGCACGATATTTCTTTTTGTTGAATAGCGAAAGTAACATTGCATTAATTTTAATGGTAATTTAGCGAGTAACGGGTCCGGATTTGTCGCGGTTATTAACGGCCGCTTTTGATGAATCGGAACTGGGACGATATGGCAAAGAAAAATCATGTCTTCGTACTTCTGCAAACTTCAGTGAATATTCTGTAGACTCCAAGGCATATGATCGTTTCACACAATTTCTTCTAGGCGGCCATATTAAAGTAAGTTTAATGTTAAAAGGATGATAATCCTATAATATCAAAACTTTTAAAATTCCAGAAAAGTTTGATTTTTTGATGATACTCGAGTTTTTTAGAAAATGTACAGTGTGGTTTTGATAATCATATTTTCCTTAGTGTTCATAGGTGTTCATATATGGATTACACTAGGTTTGCAGATTCTTTACTTGAAGATTCTTATTACACTCATTCTACATAATTGTGAATATTGACATATTAGTTCATTTGATATTTAAAGTTTATAATAAAAACTTATTTTCTTCTTGCAGGAAGCTCTTGAAAGTGCAGTGAAGGATGGGTTGTATTCGGATGCAATGATTCTGGCACGTCGCATATATACGAATGAACCGCAAGAACTTGAAAAAATCGAAACAGCCTTTTTGTCTCATCGATCAGAATTGAATCCTGTGATGACCCTTCTTTCTGTTGCAAATGGACAACCGGCTCCGGTTTTGGTAAGCTTCATTCGTTTTGTTGAAGACCTTTATTTGTTTGATATTTTGATTGCCACTGATTTCAAATTACTAGATGATTCGATAAGGTGTGTTTATTTTTTTAACTACGCATTCATATCTATAAATAAATAAGCTGAAGATTATCATTATCTATATCGAAATAAATCACAATATGGATAAAATTTTTCTAGACAAGTCCACCGATGGATGAGGCAAATAGCTGGCGTTCACATGCAGCTATAGTCCTGGCTAATTTAAATACCCCAACAGCTCTTGGAACGGTATACCAACTTGGTTGCATACTTGCTCATCGTGGATTGCATGCTGCGGCTGATTTTTGTTTCCTAGCAGTTAGCCTTTTAATGCCAAGCTATAATCCATTCGAACCATTACCTAAAAGGTTTTTTTTTTAATTCACTGCCGTTTTTCTTTTGAAATATTATTGAAATTTTTTATTCCGGGTACTCTTATTGACGAACTTTACAATTGTAAAAAGAATTTTCAGCGAAGGTGTGAGTGCAGATGTTCGTCGGCACATAACACTTATTCATGCGACTTTACCAGAAGAAATGAATTTCGTATTTTCGAAAGGGTAATGAAATTCTATTCTCTTCCATTTGCAGAGAATTATCTTAAAGGGCACTTGCGCATAATCCTTCCCAAAATATGGCATCGTCAATACTTTTTATATTGCCTCGTGCTACTTCTTACTTGAAGTATTTCCTGTAAGATTTTATCTGAATTATTATCACTTCTTCAGTGTTCCTCCACGTTGTGTAAAGTTTCAGCTTCTCGATAATAGATTTACATGCTACGGAAATTTTTCAATATTCCATAAAGTTGGCCAACAATAGCATTCCGGTGAATTTCAACTCGTCAATTGCATATCAGTTGCATCGTTTGGATTATGCAGAAATGATTTCGGAATTTGGAAGTTCTACAGGAGATGCTTTCCGGTATTGCGTTGAAATTGCGAAGGAAATTTGGGACAGACAGCGCGAAATTGAAACCGAACAGCTTGAACGACTTTACGAACTTGCTGAACGGTGTGCAACATGCATTTTTCTTGTCTCATTTATTTTATGTCTAAACTTCATAAGTCATTTTTCTGCCGAGATATTGCAAATCTTTAAGTTTGAGGATTTTCCGCATACTGATGTCGAAATGCTACTGGCTTTAATAAACTAAGAAACGGATCATAAATATATTTGACCGTCATATTTATTCTATCTGTCTGTGAATCTGACATTTATGAGCATATTTGTAGTTTGAAATTTGTGGCATGCGCAGATGCGAATAGTACGGCCTGGCTTCCAGCTTTGCGGTCTTTCATAGATAAGCAGCAAAAAGCAATTGAAGAAAATAAAATGGTAGATGATGCTACAGCAGTTAACAACCATGATATCGAAGATGTTGGTTTAACTATGATACCGAAACTATCGCCGCAGGCAATTTTTTCTCTCTTACAATTTTTTTACATGAGCTTGTTTTCATGAGTGATAACTAAACTCTTTAAGTAACGATTCTTTAAAAAGTTAAAGTTTTAATTGTTTTTTGTACATTCATTTAGAAATATTAAAATCAATCATTTTAGACCAAAATGACTGGAAATTCCACTGAAAACAGTGATATTGACTTCTCTAAGTGAGTCTTTTTTGTACTTTCATTCATGTTAAAGATTTTATTTGTTTCTAAAATTCATAAAGTTGTGTTTTATCTAAAAGAAATTATTCTTTGATTATCACTGCAGCATGACAGTATTACGCGCGGGGACGATTGAAAGACATACGGGACAGGAGGTCATTTTAACAGCCCCTGTAAAGCAGAACGAAGCAGAAAATCGGAAGCCCGGAAATAGCGGTTAGATTTTATATCATTTATATCATTAACAATTCGTTGTTTCTCAAAGATATATTTTATGTTTATATTTTAAGTGTGACTGGTTCTAGACTCTCCAGTGTTTTTATAGCGGGGCAAGCTCATTTATTATTTGTATTTCTTCAATTAACTATTTAGACTTCTTACGACACTGTCTTTTCTCATTTTTCGCTGCAGAAAGAAAAAGGAGTTGCTGCCTATAAATCTTCTACATTGTCCACTTTTTATTTAAGCTTTCAGACAGTGTATGCTACTTATATTTCAGAATATCGCATGCAGCCCGGACAATTGCGGGATAGGGTTAGAATATGTGGCAACACAAACGCATCGATAAATCCTTCTCAGGTACAATTTTTGATCTGTGAAATGTTTTCAATTTTCTATTTTGTTATATTGCTTTTTCTACTCTTTATGGTTGATTCTTCCTTGGTGATTAAAATGAAAGAATGAGAGGCGCCGAGTATCAAGTATTTCTGTTTTAGTTCTGAATTTGTTAGTATCATTGTGAGGGCATGTTTATCCTTATATCATATCGGATAGTGGGCCTTATGATTTTCAGCGCTCAGCACTACCAGTTTTACCAGCTAGCACAAAAGATTTTACGGAAAGTAGCGAAACAGCTGCTTCGCCTCTTTTGTCAGAGGCTAAGGAACGAATTTCACATGAAACAATGCAAAATTATTATGACAATGGTATCGAGCGGGAAATCTTGAAAATGGAACAGCAAATTGATTTGAAAGGAGCAAACAGCGAGATAATGGCAGAATGTACGACAGATGGCAATAGCACGTCTACAAATAGTCATGAAAATACTCCTCATCAAAATATTGATCGTTTGGTAAATTTTATTTTGTCCATATTTCTTACAACTAACTTCATATTATAAATCTTATCTCTTTAGGAAGGAAAAGTCCCAAACGGAATGGTAACAACAGGAAATCAGATTCAGGAGACATTTCAGTCTGATCACGTGTCTCCAATAATTCTAAATTCAGGTGCAAATCAATGCCCAAATTTTACAACAGGTATTTTGGTGCTAAATATTTTATTCATTTACTTCTCAAATTATAAATAAAAAATTATATTTCCTACTTTTGTCATTTACATTTCCTACTTTTGTCATTTGCAGAGCTTTCCTCTAAACAACAATCTGATATGGTTAAAAAGGATGAAAAAGTTAGTTTTTTCCTCAGTTTTAATTAATTTGACCGGCCAAGCTTTATTTTTTCAAATTCCGAAATTCAATATAATGTAGCGTGATATTTAGACACATAGTGAGGAGAAAATTGTAAATGATCATCGTCAGAATTCGGGACTGTTTTCAAAACTAAAAGCAACGATTGCAAAAGCAATCCCATCAAGCAATGAAATGATTCTTCCCGACGACAAACATCCGTCGGTATAATATTATTTCATTACCCTTCGTTAAATTGGATTAAATATTTTATAGAAGTGCTTCAACTTCTCATTTGCTGCTAGAGGTGTTTTTTTCCTGAAATTGCAGATTGTATGGGATCCGAAACTCAATAGGTACGTTGGTGAAGGAATTGAGGAAGAATCAGCCCCAGAGCCACCGCCATCGGTTACGCCAAGTTCGGAAAAGGTGAATGGGTTAACACATCGTAATGTTGGTGGATTAGTTGCTGCTCGACTAAGTGGTGGTAAATTTTTCATTGGTTGAATTGAACAGAATTTTTATTATCGATGTTAACGTTGTTATTATTTTTTTGTGAATGTGTTTCTGGTCATATTTTGAATAAATTGTGCACATTACTCCGTCATGCATTCGATTCTGTTGAATACATAGCAGAAGCAATCAGTTTAATTTACGTACACCTAATCATGTTATTATAAATTTTCAGGGTCAAGGTATTTCAACCCACTCATCGAAATATCATCTTCAAAGTCGGCATCTCAGGCTGTCCCGCTTTTACCACCAGCACCTGCTACTGCCAGTTTTGGCTTTATACCCTCAATGCCAGGTAAATTTCTATAAAATGTTTTCTAGAGCGTATTTCAGCATTAAAGTGATTAAATTTTTCTGCATTTGCTGTATGACATTCAAAAGCTACTTTTTCATGAGTTATTAAATATCATGTTCCAGATGATAATGAAGCATTGACAGAAAGTCCATTCAGTGTCCACACTGTTCCGTTATCAAAGGAGGCTGAAACTGCTGAACAAGTGCCATCGAATCGGTAAACATGAATGCTGTTAACACTGATTCATACTGGAAGACTCTTGTTTAGGTTTAAGTCATGTTTAATATTTGATGTTCTTTTTGGTGCATTATAACTGGGTTATAATGGTAATTTTTTTTATTATAGTCTCGGCAGATGGAAAGTAAAATCTTATTTACGAAAAATTGTTTGCAGTTATTGTGCTGTGTTCTTGAAAATTCACTTTTAAGCGAAATAGTTCTAGATATGGATTTGTTAACATTTAAGCGGTAAGTTTTGTCTATATCACTTTAAAACAACTATGACAAATAAGTAGTATTTTTAAAGTCACTTAAAATAAATGATTTTACATATCTGTTTTCGTTTTTTTTATAACTGCCAAATTGTATGGAAATGCCTTATTATTTTCATCATTTATATTTCTCCCAGTTCCCCTCTGTGCTTAATATGTTTCATTTCATTACTGCTTTTTATGTTTAGAAATCTGTTGACCGTGTCGAACTGGGTTTATTTTTAACTTTCGGTTATGAATTGTTGTGGCAACCTTAACCCTCCAGGTGACTTTGAGAATATGACCTTTGTACAAAGCTATGAGTCATAAGACCTCTTTATTTCAATATTCATGAACAACAGTTTGGTTTTACTGTTTCAAACTTATTATTGCTATCAGTCAGAATTAATGTATGATATCGAAATAAGAAATAAGCATATATGCTAAGGATACTAAAGTCATCCAGCAAAAATTTGAAAATATCATATTTCTTGACAAACTGAGCGCAGCTATATCTAAATTGATTTTATATTTTTTTATTTTATTTTCATTCCCTTAATTTTTGGCAGAAGAATGAACAAAAAAATTTGCTGAAACATTCTTACAAGTCTTGCTGTTTTTCTGAAATCGAGATTTGATCAATTTGCATAAACACATATGTAGTATTTACCTTTCATCATTGGTATTTATGTAGACATCTTATATGTAGTCCTTATTTATGTGATACTTCTTTTCATTTCTTTCCCAATAATTTACTCACGGTATTAGAGCCTTTAAGATATTTTCTCTGTTTGCTTATCATTTGTTTCATATTTTAAATTTTATTAAATTTAAAATGCGGAATAAATGACAATTCTTCTGTCATGCAGTCCAGTGTTCTACATGAGAGTCAAGATTTTCCTGCTGTTGTTGAGTTTTCTCATTCAGCAATATAACTTGTATTTTCATTTGTGGCAGTTGTTATTCGCTTGCCCAAAAAATCTTTCATATAAATTATTCCGTTTTTGCGTTTTATAGGTATATTTTTATTCTATCGTTATTATATAATACATTTTATATTGATTTGTATTTTGTTTTGGTTCTGGGATGTGGTTTTTAACCATATATGATTTAATTCTTCATCGTTAATTTTATCCAGCTGTTAAAAGCAAATATTTTTTACACAAATTCCGAATATTTCTCTGCTGATTGTTCTGAAATCATCGTTCTATTTATTTTCTTGTTTATTTAGTTTTCAATATAATTTCAAGTTCTATTTTTCTATCCGTTTTTATCCCCTGGTTCTTTAGTTCTCCAAAATCAATTGTCCATATTTTATTCAGTATCGTTTTTATTGAAATTATCAGTTTAGTTTCAGACAAATATTTCTGCTTTTTCATTGCACAAATAAAAAATGGAAAGAGTAGTTTGTGAAGATTTAAAATTTGGAAAGTGGTTAAGAAGTAGATATTGATAAATCGATGAAATAAGATTGGCAAAAACACTGAAATAAGTTTACTAGTAATACTATTGGAGAAAAAACCAATATACTAATTCAAACAAATTTAAGTGATTATGCAGTTTTGTCTAGATCAAAGAATGTGAGTTGAATATTTTATGAATTTCACTAACGTGTATCTAGCAATGAAGTCACAGATGAAAACGCATAGCGAGGATGGTGTATTTGCTAGTTTTTTGAATTTGAAATTTGGCGATTCAGAGTTTTTTCTTTTTATTTTAAAATTCATCCCAACTTCTGGGACTTGTCTCTCTCATTTGTGTTGGGTATTTTGGGTAAAGAATTTAGATGATTAATCAGCTAATTTTTATTATGATAGGATGTTTACATAGCTATTAGGCACCGTATAATTTTTTTATATTTAAATGCGTAGTTGTATATTTTTTTTAAATGATTAGTTTAATTCCATATATTTTTTTTTTTTTTTGTTAGATTGCATAGTTAAGCTCGGTATAACACAGATCTTCCAATGTGAATTGGAATTGCAAGTTTTTGTTTATATCTTTCCGATTGCAGAACCGTCCATCGAGCAGTAAGGGGATTGGCAAGAATTTCTAAAACTGCCCTGTTTGATAACGCACATTTTTCAAATCATTAGAAGAACTCAGATTACAACGGATGGCATATCAGATATCTCGACCAAATGATGATACAGATCGCACTCTATGGATGGGCGATTTGAATCCAGATTGGGATCAAGCTTTCATAGCGGAAGCATTCGCTCGAATGGGTGAAGAAGTAACCAACGTGAAGATTGTTTTTGATAAGCACAGCGGAAAGGTTATATTCATTCACTGTCACAAACGGCAACATTATCAATATCCACAGCTCTTTTTGAATTTCAAAATCAGCAAATAATTTTAAAATAAATATCAGTCTTTAAGCGAACATTTTAAATTTAGGAATGATAAAATTTTATAAACCAAGAATGACAAAATAGTTGAAATGAAAAATTAGCCTTCTCATATTTTTTCTTGTTCTCTTATTTTACTTTCATTTATTCGAACTGTTTTGCAGTGTATCTAAAACAGGAATATTTTGCACCATTGTTTTATTATTGTTACAAGTACAGTTCATAATTTTATCTTTATTTCCTAAAAACCCTATTATATCACTTGTTCTGTTCTGTTTTCCCTATGAGCTGACACTCTTTCATATTAGCCAGCTATTCCCCTCTTAGTATAAATATGTTTAAACATTAGATGGAATTCTTATCTTTCTTTGAATATTATTCAACTATAACACGATATGATCTACCACCACTGAGCGCCGAATAAATAGAACTATCTCTCAGTGATCAGTAAGCTATTGTTCAATCTAATAGAAAATAGTGAATTTTCATTATCGAATGTATAGTGATTTCAGCAAGCTGGTTATTGTTTCATTGAATTTGCTGATCGTGATTCGGCTCGTCGTGCAATGTTGCACATAAATGGAAAAATTATTCCGAAATCAAAAGCATGTGCAGCATTCAATCTTTCTTTTGCCAATTCTCCAAATGCACCGTTAGTTTAAATTAATGTGTTTTTTTCTCTTTAGTATAATAATCTTCCTTTCATGTGTATGGAATTGATGGTCAAATAGGGTATTTTTAGTGGATAAAAATTTGGAATTAATAAAATTTGCCCAACAGCCATCGATCTTTAGTGTTCGCAATAACCATTTGGTTCGAATTATTGACTTCAATTGCTAATATTTAAAAGTATTCTGGAGCTTACTCTGGGTTACGGTGGCAATTGTTATCAGTGCCCTACCACTTCGTATTGCTTTAAAATGCTTACGTCAAATTTTTTGGAAAGCTAAAGTGAAATATCTTATGATTTTCAGATATACAGAGTACAATCTATTTGTCAACAATGTACCGCAAGATATGGATGATGCCGCGCTTTTTTTGGTGAACTATAAATTGCTGCTCTTATTGTTGACTATCTTTGCTTCATTGTAACTTTGCGAATTTTGAATTCTCCTTCACAAGTTGAACTGAAAAAGTTTAGTCCTTTCTCAAGAATCACAATAATTTATTTCATTTTGATTGTTCAAGTTGTAGATTTTTGGTGAACGTTATGAATCGTGCCGTGGTGCAAAAGTTTACCGAAATACGGATGGAACTTCGAAAGGCTTAGGTTTCGTGCGATTTTCCGATCAAACCGATCAACAGAGAGCATTAGTAATAACTATTAAATTTGTTCAGCTCCTAAAAAATATTGGAACTTTAAAGGAAATAGGTCATGTAATTACACATTCGCTGTGGTACAACTAAGGTTTTTCAACTATATATTGATATTTTTAGCTAGAAATGAATAAATATCGTGTGGATGGTAAGCAGTTAATTCTGAAATTGGCACAGCCAAAATATCGAGCACCAAGACAACCTCGTCATCTTCAACAGCAGCAACAACAAGCTCAGCATAATATTACTGGATATGACAGTACCACTAATTATATGCAGACTCAGGTTTTTTTTGAACTGATAAGTTTCATTCACGGTTCAAATGCTATTGTGATATAGTTTCAACATTCCACAATGAAAATTACATATAATTATTCACCTTGTGGAAAGTAGTCTAATTTTAGGATAATGGCGCAACCTCTGTAGCATCTCCTACATCGTTGGCATCTTATTATCCATACAATACTACGCCTATGACAAGTGCTCATTCAGCGAATACTTATCATGCACCATATACTTTTCCACCAGTGCATCCTCGAACTACCCCTCAGCAAACTGTTTGTGAAGTAATATATTAAAATTAATAGTTCATTTAGAAAGTGTACGAAATATTATCCAGTCCGTTTCTGTTATAAATTTTTCATGAGTTTATTTTCTACCCTTTTCATGAGAAATATTTTTAAAATTCCTGGTGTATTTCTTGTAAATTTATAAATATTATATAAAAACTATTGCATGATTCATTTGAGAAGTCTACTGATTTAATCAAATATAAACTGAATTAGCACTATCCAAAAATGAAAAATCTATTTCAGCAGTACTATTCATGCGTAGTTGGTGGAGCAATTGTATCGTATGAAATGTGCGGTATTGAACCAGTGGAAGATGAATCGGCTGAACAGAGCAACGAATACGTACTACAAAATGGCGAAGAATTTTACGAAGCACTTGAACAAAGCAGATGGAGTAAGGTCGTATTTGATGCTAATATGTGTGAAAATGATCTTCTAAAAGTTCTTGGATGATAATTACCTTCATATTTCTAACTGTGTTAAGAAGTTTCATGTGTATATACAAATGGTTCCTCGTTTTCTGTCAAATTTTAAAGTTTTCGAATTATTTCTCTTCTTTTTAAGATTTTTAGTGTTATTTTATGTGATTGTTCTTCGATGCTTGTTTTTTTTTAGGCTTTTTTTAATTTTGAATGGGGAAAGTATTTTTTGTGTTCCTGATAAAAATAGTTGGAAAATAGTTTAAATCAAATGAATAATAAATATGATCATACCGTGAATCCTTGATAGACATCTTAAATTTTAAATATTTCAATGTTTTCTCTGTTATTCAAATTTATTAATTTTAACTTATTGCACATGGCAAGTATATATTGCATTACAATTTACGATTATTTCGCTGAATATATATCATAATTAAGATTTAGTCCTACCATTATAAAATTAGTTGTAAAATTATTATGAAAAAAGCAAAGGATTATTCAAGCCTGTTCAACCATCACTCCGTTCTTACCATAAATGTAAGCGAAAATATTGCTCAGAAAGATTATATTATGTTGATGTAACATAGAATCATGATCGCCATCAGCCAGAAATATATCCACATTCTTCGCAGAAATCTTCTGCCAACCATTTGAAATCAACGATCGCGTTTGCTGTTCGGGATTTGATCCTCTAAAAAATATAACAATTATACGGAAAATATGGAAAATATGAATAAAGAGAGGAGTTAGATTTTTTCTTTTTTAGGCGAATCTGTTGGGTTCGATAAATGTTAATAGATTTTAGTCATTTTTAAATCATTTAATCTAGTTGTGAAATTCACAATTAAGAAAAAATCCAGGATTATTTAATCATTTTCTATGATGCATTTTTGGTTCTGTTCAAGATTAATTTATTGGTTAGGCTTCAAGATTAATTAATTTACTGGTTAGACTTGTTTTATTGGTGACGCGGAATATTTTTTTCGCTAATTCTTATCGCTTTGATTCCATCTTTTGAGACACAAACTTTGTCAATTTTAAATTTCACAGCCCATACCAAATGAACCAAATGAAATTTGTTTACCTTAGATCTGCTCTGAGAGGAGAATTTCCATGATTCTTTGCTTTCAAGAGATAAATTTTGATAGAATTGATCGAAAATTGATGATTTTGCAGGATTGCAGTTAATTTTGCTGATTTCTTGATATATTCCTCTTTACCCGGTAAACCTTCTAATTTTTCCTAAAAAGGAGAGAGCAGAAAAGATTTAATAATCCTTTACATTTATTCATATGAAAAGAAAATAAAGAAAAAATTCTTTTTGAAGCATAATAAAAGTTGAAACCTGCAGATAACATTTGACATTGTTCACATGTAAATTATCAATACCAATATACCATGAATCAAGCATTATAACAAATGTTACTTCATTATCGCGATTGTCATTAAGTAATTGTGCTATTTCACGTGCCAAAATACCACCTAACGAATGTCCCATTAAATGTATTGCTTTCATTTGGCTATGTTTGATAATCTAAATGTTTGAAATTTTACTGTATTTCATAAAATTAAATTAAGAATGGAATAATAACATTTTTTTGTCAAAAAATGATTACTCAAATAAAAAAAGATTTCTTACATTAAAAAAAATTTCGATGAGTTAAATAATAGAATAGAATCTTATTTGCAGAATAAAATGTAAACATTTATTTAACATAGAAATAAAGAAACCTTTCACTCTTGACTAAACTTTCTTTCCTTTTTAAATTTTTATTTCTGATGAAACTTCATAAGTGTTAGAGAGTATATACTTTTTCTATTACTTTTAGAGAAAGAAAATTAAGTAGACGAAATTTTATTTACTTGTTTGGAGTAGAAAGATGCAAGCTCCATTAAGCTATTCGATGGATAATGAAATTCATATTCAATAGCATAAATATTCAAGCATTGTGGTATAGTTGATAGCAGTCCAAAGTATGGATATATTGTACCAGCGATAGCATGTACCATATAAAGATTACCGATAGCTGATGTCGTTTCCCGAAGATTTACAAATCTTACCGATTCAATTATTGGAATAGAATATGTTGGAAGTGAAGAGTATAAACTCATTTGATCTCGACAAACATGATAGTTTGAAATTTTTTTCTCATCCGTTACTCCGTTGTATACATTCATATTTGTATGTATGCTATCAATTAGCGCTGCTAATGTTGGCTGACGATAGAAATGTTCGAAGTTAAGATCAAATTTGAATTTATCACGAAGTTTTTGTCGAAGAAGTACTAATAGAAGCGAGTGTCCACCGATTACGAAGAAATCATCTTCAAGTTTGGGATTAGATATTCCAAGTAGTTGACACCAAATTTCTCGTACTTGTTCGGAAAATATTTTATCAAATTGACAAAGTTTAGAAATCGTACTATCATTCTCAGCCGAATAACTATTTTCCATCATTTCGTTCAATTTATTAATATCAATTTTTCCATTCTTATTTAATGGCATTCGTTGCAGCATAATGATCTTCTTGGGTATCATGAAATGAAGCAAATGCTGTTTCAGATGTTCTCGTAATCTTTCTCTGTATCGACTGTCGATATCTTTTTCAATAAATAAGAATAAACTGTCTAACTGATCATTTTTTAAAACAGCAACGTTTCGAATTGACGAATCCCATCGTTTTATTGCAGTTTCGATTTCCCCGGGTTCCACACGATAACCACATATCTTAAGTTGCTTATCTTTTCGTCCTAAGAAATGATACTTTTCACCGAGTTTCATTGCAAAATCACCGGTAAAATAGCAAAACATGTTACGATTTAAAATTTCATCTTCTTTAGTATGAAATTTATTGAACGTGAAAACATTTGCTTTTTGATTTAAATATCCGCGTGAAACGCCTTCTCCACATATCACTAATTCACCTTTACCACCATTACATGTTATATTGTTTGCTGAATCTAAAAGGTATGCAGTCTCGTTATTGATCGGTGATCCGATTACTCGACCACATTCATATTCTAATATCGAGCAATTGTTCGATAATGACCAAACAGTAGTTTCCGTTGGACCGTAAATTTGACAAATTCGAATTCCCATTTGCATACATCGATTAAGTTGCTGATTATTTGGTGTTTCACCACCGACATATAACTTCTCCAACTGTTGAAGTTGAACAATTTCATCCTCATCAAGCATATTAAAGAAAGCCGATGGTAGGAAAGCGAACTTCACATTTCTCTGAACAATTTCAACAATTGCATTCAAAATATTTTGCGATGCAATCAAACAACAGCCGTTCGAAAAAGTTGTAAAAATATTCACGCAACTTACATCAAAAATTGTATTGACAGAATGATAGATGCGAAATTTGGGATAAAAAGTTGCTTGCTGAGTTGATGTAAGTACAAAACTGAGAAGATTCTGATTGGTAACACAAACAGCTTTTGGTTTTCCGGTAGAACCACTGGTAAAAATGATGTATGACGCATCACAGCTTTGCAAACGTTTTCTGCTACTTGCTCTTTTGAACTTTTCATTTAAATGATCCATTAGCCATCCTTCTATATCATAAATGCAAGATTGCTGATGACAATCCAATGATAGAAAATGAATCAACGATAAAGCAGGAATATTTAATCCCAAATCATTTCTCTGAACAATAATAATTGATGCACCGATGTCTTGCACCAATTGCATGATCATTGTTGTCGAATTTGCAGGATCGATAGGTGCATATGCTGCACCGGCTAATTGCACTGCTAGAAGCGGCACTATTATTGCATTTGAATCGGCACATATCGGTATTATTGTATCAGCACGAATGCTTTCACAAGTATTTTGCAAGTAAAATTGTTTAATTTTTTTGGAAAACATATGAATCATACCATACATCTGTCGATAAGTAATTGTTTGATGTGGATAGCAAAAAGCAGTAAGCTTATCAGTAAGCACAGATTGTTGCTCAATAATATCAATGACACTTCCAGATAACACATCTTGATAAGTTTTACATTCTAAATCATTCATCACATTTCTTCCGCTATCAGATTGATTACTACTAATAGACTTTAGTAATTTAAAATAAACTGCAATCATTTCATCAATAAGCTGAATCGAGTATTGATTGACATTGTAATCAATGGTAATCAGTGTGCCTTCCTCTATTTCATCAATTGTACATGCAAAATCAAATGCGTCATTGGTGGTAAGTTGTGTTATCGTACTTCTTACATCGGAAATTTCGATTTTCGGAAAGTCAAGATTATGACGATAGTTAAAAAATATATCGAAAATGGGATGTTGTTGAATGTGTCGTCGATGATGTGACAATTTAGCTACCAATAAGTGAAATGGTAAATGCTCGAATGAGCGAGCTTCTTGAATTGCTTCTTTAACTTGCTCAAAAAGAATACTGTTTGTTGCATTCATTTTGAAATCTCTAACAATAAGGATTATGTTGTTCAAAAAATATCCAATTACCGATTTCATTTCTTCTGTATCCACTCTTCCGGATACCGGACAACCGATCACAATTGTATTGTTACTGTAATCATCCGAAAATTTTCGAACAAGACATAGGAATGCAGTAAGCATTACTGTGTATATTGTTTGTTGATATTGTTTAGCTGTTCGAATGATTTGCGCCCAAAGAGATGGTGGAATCTCAAATGTCTTTTGGCTAATTAACTTCGATGCCATAATTGCAGTTTTCTGCGCAACAATCCGTGTTGCCTGAAGTCCTTGAAGTTTGGCACACAATCGTTGAAGATCATTTTGCATTCTCGCAGTAAATTCGTTGCTACGTTGCCAAATTGCAAAATGAGTTACATTTCTCGATAATCTTTTAAGAGTTTCCGGAATACGTTGATTTGTTACGCAATAACGATAAAACTGTCCTAATTCATTGGCAAAAATAGTCATCGACCAGCCATCAGTAATGATATGATGTTGGCTTATCAGTAGTATGTATTCATTTCCCTTCCCTTCACTCTCATCACTACACATTGCTAATATTCTGAATGGAATCTTACTCAAATCCATTATATGATTTTTCTCATTCTTTATCAACTTGCGACGTTCAAATTCATTCACGACAGGCCAAGTTATGTGATAGTAGGATTCGGTAAGGGATTGAATTTCCTGACAGTATCCATTATTTGATACCGAAAATGTGGTTCGAAGAGAAGTTTGCCGTGCAATAAGAAATAGTAGTGCCTTTCGTAAGCTTTTAATGCAAAATAATCCTTGAAATATTAATAAGAAGGAAATATTGTAGAGAGTTGGATGTTGTAATTGTCTTAAAATGTACATATTTTCTTGTGGATAACTCAATGGAATCCTTCGCAATTCACCAATGTCATCGAGAATTTTGTAACTTTTCAAATTATATGGAAATTTTCGATCTTTTTCATTAATATCTGTTTTTTGTAAAAGTTGCGAAAAGTTTTCGAATTGTGAATTTTGGAACAGATCATCCAATTTGCAATCAGTTTGCAACACACGATTAATTTCCCAAATAATTTGCATGCCGTTTAAAGAATGTCCGCCTAATTGAAAGAAGTCATCATGACTGGTTACTCGCTCAACACCCAAATAATTCATCCAAATCTTTGCGATAATATTTCTTAAATCGTTACCATTCTTTCCAATACTTTTTTCTTGTTCCGGAATGGCGACAAATTTATCACTTACCGTAAAGTTTAATTTACGAATTTCATGGACAATATCATTGGGCCTAACAAACGATACAGCAATCAATCCCTGTTCATGCAAACATTTCCATATCATTCGTTTAGCCTCATTCATTGATAATGAGTATTCGATGATAAAGTTTGCTACCGGATTCTGACTTTTATTTTCCTTATTAGCATAAAACTCAAGCATATTGCTATCTCTCCAACCGGTCCATTGTATAGTTGTGATATTTTGGATGCTTCGATAATTTCTGTTACAACATGCATCCAAAAAAATATTTGATGCCGCATAATCATTATTGCCGGGTAATCCAAATAAGGCATTCATGCTTGAATTAAGTATTAAACTTCGAATGCTGATATCATCCTCGCATAAAATACTGATTATGTTTCGGACACCTCGAATCTTCGGTTGCAATACAAATTGTATTTGATCGAAATTCTTTTCAAATTTAGTACTATCAATTTTTCCTGCTGCTGCATGAATTATGATATTGATTCGTCCATGCTGCAGCATTATTTGGCTTAGGAAATGTTGTACCTGTTCTTTTTTCCTTACATCAACGTCGTATGCGAGAATTGTATGCTGATTATTGGTAATATTAATTTTTCCCGATGTTCTAAATTTTCTTGAACTTTTCCACTGATTAATTTTAGTATGCAATTTCTGAAAATGATGCGTAGCATTCGGACTAGCTATACAAATCGTTAAAAAGTCGAAGTTTTGACAAAGAACATCGATGAAAGACTGTCCAATGCTACCAAATCCAAAAATCACAATGACATCAGCGTTTCGAATAACACATTCATTCTTATCAATCGATTGATCCCAATTTTTCGCAATATAATTGCTGCTTTCAATTTGCTTTACTTGATAGGAAAAATACTCAAATTCTCCATTTATTGTATTTCGAATCAACGAAAAATCAGCTTGATAAGATTCCAATAATTGTAATGCCTCAAATAAATTAATTTTTGGGGTGCAAAGAATGCAAGCAGCTTTTGATGATTGCCTTGTCATTGTTAATTCTCTTATCGGCCCGAGAATTGTGAATATCTCCGGTTCTGCATTCCAATCAATACTTACTAAAAATCTTATATCAGTTATGTTCTGTATAAGATTCGTTAGAATCCAATTTATGGAATAAAAACTTGAAAGTAAGTAAGAATCATTGATCTGTTCAGTTTCATAATTCATCGATAAATTCCATGCATGAATTATTGTATCATAGCAGAAATTACTATCACGGAGAAAATTAGCTAATTGTTGGTATGATTCTTCTTTATTCGAATTTATATAAATGTCGCCATTTATTACATTTACATTTCGAGTTGAGAAAGAGTCACTGAAGATACATTGAACTGGTACGAACAAATTGTGCAGCACTGTGAGAAGTGTACAGATTGCTTTTGTGCGGATCGTCGGTAAGAACAATAGGACTCCTTTCGGAAATCGTCTTCGGTTTGTAAATTTGTATGGTATCCAACATGGTCCATACAGATTCACGTCAGATTTTTCTGTGTTCCACTTCTTCTCTTGATATTCCCAGCAAATATCTTTTTCAAACTGATAATTTGGCAGAAGTTTATCAAAACCATAATTTCCACAGATCATTTCCCAATTTAGCTCATAACCTTTCATCCATAATTTCGTCGCGACACCAATCAGATCACCTGTATCATGACCTTTTTCATATTGCTTTTTAGATGGTAATGTTGAAATCACTCCAATTTCACGCGGATTATCCTTCAATAAACTTTCGAGAATTCCTTTTGGACCAATTTCTATGATTATCTTAATTTCACTGTCCAAATTTTCGATACATTTGTCAATTCGAATTGTGCTTCTCATATGTTTCACCATATATTTACTATCAAAATGCTTAATAACTTGGCCATCAATATTTGATAAAATTTGTGTTGTCGGCTCTCGAAAAGTGAAATTTTCTAAAAATTGTTCAAATTCTTCAAGTATGGAATCCATGAATGAACTGTGAAAACCATAATTTGTTTCCAATTCCCTGCAATGCACCTCGTCCTCTTCCAGTTTTTTCTTTAACTCGTCAATTCTTTCAGGGTTTCCAACCAAACATTTAAGATCCGAACGAAGAATAGCAGAAACTTCAACAGTTTCAGCAATTTTCAGCGATTTTTCATCGGTACTTTTTATTGGTAATTCGAAGGGAAATTGTGAATGTTTTACAGCGAGCATTTTCGCTTTTTCCGTTTTCGCAATTAAACACCCACGTTTGAAAAGTATTTTTAATGCAGTTTCCACATCAAAGACGTCAGCTTGAGCTGCTGCGACATATTCACCCAAACTATGTCCCATCATTATGCATCCTTTAATTCCCCAGGCTAGTAACTGTTCGGCTAAAGCAAAACAGACAATAAATGTTGCCATCTGTGAATACGGCTGTTCGATGATCGCATATTGCGAATTGAATTTTTGTTGTGGATGAATAATAGTTTGGAAATTGATACCAGTTAATTTACTAGCAATATGACAACATTTTTGCATAACTCCACGAAATACTTCATTGTAAGCCATTGCTTCTAATCCCATATTAGAATATTCCAATCCCTGTGGTGCAAAATAGAATGCAATGTTTTCTCGCTTCAATTTGATCATCTTTTCCATTTTACCAATGTTTTTCAGTTGATTGATAGCATCCACAGCTGATTGCACATTTATACCAATTCGATATTCGAAATGTTCACGATAGTTTTGTAATGTGCTTGCTACTTGAGCTAAATTCGTTTCCGGTGTCAGATAATTAGCTATACGATTACAAAGATGAATACATGCGTTTCCAGTTCTACCTGATATTGTTAAAGCATAAAAACATTGCTTAATATTTGAATGATTGATGGAAGATATGTGATCATCATTTTCTATGATAATATGTGCATTAGTTCCACCAATACCACAAGAATTCATAGCAAGTCGTAATTTTTTCTTCTGAAATCCGATGTTACATTGAGTAATTTTAAAACTAACATCTTTCAGATTTTCGTTTAATTTATCGAAATTAATTTGTTTCGGAATAATTTTCATTTCAGCGATTTTGCATAACTTAATAATGGCACCAATGCCAGCTCCAGCTAAAGCATGTCCGATATTAGCCTTTACTGAACCAATTAATGTGTCACGATGATACAACCGGGACATTGCTGTAAGTTCGATTAGATCACCTGTTGTTGTTCCAGTCCCATGGCATTCGATGTAATCTACATCAGATGTACCAGCCATCTCAATTGCTTCCTTCATGCAATTTAGCTGACCGTTGATATTCGGTGCCATAAAGCTAGACTTTAACAAGCCGTCATTAGTAATCCCATAGCCAGCTATTCTAGCTATCACTGGAGTGTTCGTTTGTCGAGCTTCGCTAAGTCGTCCTAATACAACAACACCAACTGCTGAACCTCGAACTGTTCCGCTCGATTTGTAATCAAATGGTCGGCAGTGACCATCAGTTGACAGTACCATTCCTTGTAAGCTCCTGCTATCATCAGTACGAGGCATAGCCAGAGATACAGCACCCGCAAGTGCAACATCACATTGATTTTTATGCAACAAATTAAGAGCTTGTATGATAGCCACAAGAGCTGTGGAACAGGCGGAATAAACTCCAAATGATGGACCATGAAGGTCGAGCAAATGGCTGGTCCATGCGGCCACAAAATCCTTCTGATTCATTTCGTATAAATTTTCGATACCACCGATCCGACGTGATTTTGGACGATATTCCGATGGTTCAGCACCGGCAACAACTGCTATTCTTAGCTTACTTTTGAGTCTTATAAGACCTGATCGTTCAAGAGCAACATATGCATGCTCAATAAATTTCCGGATTTGTGGATCAATGTAGCTTGCATCGTCAGGACTCATTTTCCAAAATCGGTAATCAAATTTGTCGATATCTGGTACTATACCAATTGCTTCTGTAATTTCACAATTACCAGTTGTAGTTTTTTTGTGATGTTCAATTAATTCCTTGCCATTTAACAAAGAATGCCAAAATGTTTCGTCATCAGAAGCTCCAGAAAAAGCTCCTGAATAACCAATAATTGCAACCTCATCAGTTGTATCTTTCTCTTTCATATCATTTTTTAATTTACAACTGCTCGAAGTACTTTGTGACAAATATTGGGATAATGTTTCCACGGTAGAGTACTCATAAAAAATAGCGACAGGAATATTCAAATTAAACCGTTCTTTAAGAAGTGCTATCATTTCGGAGATCATCAATGAATCGATTCCCATTGACATGAAGCCTACATCAGGTCTTACATCTGTAATACCGCTTACTTCCGTAATACAATTCTTGATTATTTCATTAAAATTCTTTTCTGATTTAGAATCTGAATGCAAATCGCCATTTTTATGGATGTTGTTATCTGGAATACATTCTAGAAAACTGCTTAGATATGGACGCTTTTTTCGAAGCACATCAAAATTAACATCCATTACTATATGATGACCTGTACTGGAAAGTAATTTGCAGCATAACTGAGCGACCTTTTCTACCTGCATTAACTTCCAACTGCTATTTTGGATTTGTTTCCGAATAGCAGCCATATGTTTGCCAGCCAGAAGTCCTCGTCCATCCCATGGTCCCCAGCTAATAAACAATCCATCTGGCATATCTCTTCTCATCAAATATTCCATAAGTTCGTTAGCAACAACATAATTAGCTTGTCCAGCAGAGCCAAAAATTGTTGCCGCTGATGAGAATGCTGCTATCTTCCTGATTGGATATACTTCCGAAAGCCTGATGATGTTGTGTAAACCTATAACCTTTGGATAACATACCATTTCAAACAATTTCACATTCATATTTTCCATCAAACCATTACTTATCGTTGCTGCACAATGGAAAACAATGTCGAATGGTGCAAATGTTGCAAAAATTTCATTCATTTGCTTGTAATTAGTGCAATCCGCCTGTATTGTTCTGATCACAGAACCATTATCACCGGTGTTGCAGGTGCTTGGCATACTTCTCGATACAACGACCGCCAAGTCAGGTTTCAATAATTTAATCAACTCTATCGCTATCCCTCGAATATTTCCTGTTATCAATATTCGACCAGCATTTCTTGTTTGTTCTAGAACTAGTCCTGTGTTATCATCCACTTGTTGCAATCTTTCAACATATCGACTCCCGCTATTATACCAGATTATTTCATTGAGAAAATTTTCATCCGAAATTTCATCGAAAAGTTGTTGATCGATAATATCAGTATGAATACTTTTAAAATTTACATTTGTTTGTTCCATTGCTAATGTTTTCAGTAAAGCAGAAAATGGCGCAAACAGTCGCTGTTTCCCTTTGATATTAACAGTAGCAAAGACAATTAAGCATAATTTCATATTTGTACTGAAGTAATTGTTATTGTTGTTGTTGCTGTTGTTCAGCAAAATCTTCCATAAATTAATCACCAACATACTTTGCCTTATCGTATTTTCCAATAAATTTTCCTCATCAATTATCCATTCTAATACCAATTTTGTACATCTATATAGATCAAGCTGCTTTTTGATCCTAAAAATATCATCATCATCGTTTATCTCATCAACAAACATAGCTTGTTGTGCTATAATTGTTGTTGGATCGGTAAGATTGATAGCAATAAATGGAATAATTCGTCTAGGTTTCGGTAGTGTGCATTTCTTTTGAACCAGTCTGTATAAGTAATGATGGTTGACTGAATCCATTTCGGTGCTGTCAACATTATTATTGTTCAATGAGTCAACTGCGCAATCTGCTTTTAGATTTTCTGCTGTTTGAGATATTTCAGGTTGCAGATTCGAAAAAGGAACTTTGGCATACGAATGATTACTATAATCGATACTTCGTACATTACGATCAGTAAAAGGCCAATATTTTTCTTTGCAATATTCAGAATCTGGTATGAGGCATGTTTCAGTCGTTCGATTATTAAGTACCTGCCAATTGATATCAACAAAATGCTCATATAATTGGCAAATTGTATCCACGAATTGATTCGTAAATGATCGTTTCCAATTATCACTATATATCATTCCAGATTGCTCAATTAGTAAAGTTTGCATGTTTAAAATGCAATCAAAATCTTCGAAAACTCTTTCTTTTCGTATTTCAAAATTATAATGCTGATATGGCATTCCTTTGTCGGAAGTATTTATTGCTTCTGAAGCATATTTCATTTTATACTTTCCCCTTAATACTTCAATAACAATTCGGTCGATTTTGCTCGATGCAATAATTGTTGATGGATTTATTCCGATGGTGATTAGAAATGTGATCAATGAAAGTTTTGAAACATATTCGAATGCAAATTTTCCACTTCGTTTGGTTGATGTGAAATTATTTGCACATTTATATGTTTTGATATGATCTATGAAAATTTTCTGGAAAGAAGGATAGACTGTATATAATTCAGCGATCATACATGGTTCTGGGCTTTTTCCCAAACTCAAAACAATTTTACTCCATTTCTGTTGTTTATTCGTCGTCCGGAAAGATATCCGTTTTTGTGTGTGTCGTTTAATCGGTATTGCTGTTCGATGTTTTCCAGTACTCCTCAAATTTTGCAGGCATGCGCAAATTGTTACAAGACTATGGCTCGTTTCTTTCACAAATTCCTCTAATTTTTCAGATTCTAATTTGAATGATTCTGAATCATTTGCCGAACATAAAAGAATGCATGGAAAATGACCGGATGATAACCTTTGCGTCGTTACTAGATGATTTATTGTTTGCTCGTTCTCTTCCAACTCTCTTCTGTTCCATCCTCTGAGAATTACCGATACATTGGTACCACTGAAACCGAAACTATTTATGAGCATATCAAAAGTACCCGGTAATTCTTCGCCAATTACTGGTACGTTCAATATAACATTGTTCGTGATATTCGTATTTAACAATTTGAAATGTTGGATTGGTGGTAGATAATGGTGACGATATGCTTCAAGGGCCATTATCAATGATGCGGCACCGCCTGCAGCCTCACAATGACCAATTGAACTTTTTACCGAAGTGATGTAAATCGGACGATTCGATAAATCTGCTACAGCTCTGACAATAGCTTCCGTCTCGATTGGATCACCTAAAGGGGTACCTGTTGCGTGAGCTTCCACCCAACTTATTGTTGACGTATTTACACGTTTTGTATTAACCGTATTAATCAGTTCGTACTCACTTATACCATTCGGTATCGTAAGCCCATTTGATCGTCCATTATGCCCCATACTATATGATTCAATTGTAAACATCATGTCATTTCGATGGAGAGCTAAAATTTCGTTTCCTGAATTGTAGTTTCTCTCACTTACTCCCCGAATTAATATCACAGCAGCTCCTTCTGATCGAACATATCCGTCTGCATCCACGTCGAATACCTTGCAAGAGCCTGTTTTACTCAGCATTTGCGCCTTCTGCAGTACGGAAGTGGGTTTCAAATTAAGGATGATATTAACAGTTCCAACGAGAGCTGCCCGACAATTACCCATTCTAATGTTATCGCAAGCAACAACAAGAGCAGAAAAAAATGATGAACATGCTGTATCGATCACCATCGTAGGCCCTTTTAAATTGAACCAATAAGCAATACGACCAGCCAGAACGCTTTGATTTGTACCGGTACTCAGGTATGAGCAGATATCTTCAATCTCTGCATACGCTTTTTGAGCAAAATCACTCGAGCTTATACCGATAAACACCCCCGTCTCACTATCCAATCTTTCTAATCCAGCATTTTCGATCGTTTTTTGTGTCATCTCCAAGAGAATTCTTTGCTGAGGATCGATATAAGTAGCTTCTTTAGGTGTAATACCAAAGTGCACCGGATTGAACATGGTAATATCAGTTTGAAGTTTTTGAATATTACCGGAAATGTGCGAACTTGTTCCTGTTTTCAGATTATTCCACAACGATGCACAGTCTACTGCAGAACCAGGAAACTGGCCAGCATAGCTAACAATTTCAATTTGTAACGTTTCATTCCGAACAGATAATTTTTTATCCTTTTTGATTCCAGTTGTATTATCAGAATTATCAGCATTATTTGAATTGATCTCGACATGTTTCATCTTGTCACTCTTATCTTCGATTGAAGAATGCTTCGTTTCAATGTTACTTGAATATTGGGAATCTGATGGATTGCGATGTTTGATCGCTATGCTGGACTTGTTAGAACTCACATCAATTGCTATAGCATTGTTTAGAGCGATGACTTGATTGTTATCTTCATAAATAACAACCGATCCTTTGATAATATTATCAATGCGTTTCGAGATAATTCCATAAGCATGGAAATAATTGTGAGCAGTTTTTTCATCATATTTTATTATAATATCATCAATTGAAAATGGAATATAAATTGATAATTTACTCTTGGTTAAAAGAGCCGCAGAAAGCAGTTGAAGAGCTCCGTCAACAAGTTGTGTTAGACCATTAATATTGATCAGTGTTGCACCAATATAACAATCTTTATAATATATTTCACGTAATATTTGATATTTTAATCCGTACTGCAAACCGCGTCTTCTCATTGTTTCATAAAATGCTTGATGAGGTAATTCATCCATTGTTATCTTTAATTGTTCGTACTTCATTCGTAATGTATTTAAAGCATTGATTTGTTTCATTTGTTCCAAAATTTTTTTACGCTCTTCATTACCTAATCGGCAGGTGCTATATTTGCTAATATTATCCGTCAAAATCAATTCAGATGAATCGAATTTTATTTCAAGTTTGTTTAGATCAATTTCATTCACTCGTTTTTCCAACCGTAATGATTGAAAAAGAATCGTTTTGCATTTTTGATTTTTTGATTCACCAATACACGTTTTCAATGAATTTCTAGTAAATTCAACAAATTTAGCAATAATAAATGCTGCAGGTAATATTATTTTACCGTGCATGAGATGTTGCTCAATCATTTCCATATCGCTTTTTTTTCCAATTATCATTCTCCTTTCGGTTTTTCTCTTCTTCATACATGACTTCATCATTTTCTGAACATTATTGTCATTTGTTCTATTGCAAATTCGTTCCCATTTAATCTTAACTCCAAAAAGCTGAAGTTGACATAATGAGTGCATGAATGAGTCCACTTCTTGCTTATCATTTTTAATTCCGGAACATATCAACGTATCCGGTTTAGATCCCAGCATACTTTTCACTAATGTTGTCAAAATTTCACCATTACCTATTTCAAGCCATATGTTAGTATTATTGTCGTTCAGTGTTTCTACGCATCTCTTGAAAAACACAGCAGATTTGATCGAAGCAATCGATTCCGTCTTGTGCTCCATAAATTTGCCGGTACAATTGCTAACAACATTTCGTACTTTCGTTTTCTCAAGTTTCACTTTTCTGCATTCCATCCTATATTGATCCAATAGTGTGTCATTAATTGCTGAACTGTGAAATGGATAGCAATCATCAATTACTGTAACCGGACATTGATATAATCGTGCAAAATGTAAGCATAATCTGGCTGATCGATTATCACCTGATAAGATAATTTGCTTGTGACTATTTTCAGCTGCTCGACTCATCCCACTATATTGTTGAAGTTTTTTGGCATCATTTTCCCTTACTGCAATCATTTTACCTTTTCCTCTGGTAAATCCAAGAATTTCTCCCCGTCGTATAACCAGTCTCAATCCATCATCGAATGATATTCGACCAGCTAACGTACAAGCAACAGCTTCTCCAATACTATGTCCAACAAAGAAGTTAGCCTGCACACCGCAAAATTCATAAAATTTAGCAAGCGAATATGCAAAACAGTAAATAATTGGTTGAGCATATTCTGTTTTATACAACAACTCTCGATAACGCCACTGATAGATTACATCCCGAATATGTACACATTTCTCGGGCATATACCGCGTTGCAACATCTAATGTTTCATCAAATTTTTTTCGGAAAAATGGAAAAATACAACTGAGCTGCCTACCCATATTCCATATTTGGCTTCCTTGACCACTGACCATAAATGATATGACTGGCTTTTTGGATTGCTTGATATTAGGAATAATTTCAAAGTGTAGCAAACTATTTCGTAATATTTTGTATTTTGAACCCCAAACAACATGGCAATAACCATTAGACTGATCGTATTCAAATGATCGATCTGACGATATTTCTGAGGGATGGGGGGACTGTTCGAATGAATCGAAAAAATGAAATTTTTCTTTCTCCAATTTTTTTTCATTTTTTGAATGGAACACAAAAAATGTAAAATTTTTAGCTATATTTTCTATATTTTCCTTATGCTTTGATAGGAAATTGTCGCCATTGGTTACCACTTCCGAACGTTCTCTTATACGGCAGAATAGTGATCGGATATAGCGAGAAAGTTGATCGATTGTTGGATGTTCAAATATTGCCAATACGTTTAAGGTAGGCTTTATTTCAATTCTTTTTGTTAACTCACTTACAAATCGATATATTTTGAGAGAATCAAGGCCAAGATTCATAAAACTCTTCTGGTAATCCTCGTCAGTTACCGCTTCTTCGGTTATTTCCTCCAAGATTTTGACAATTATTGATTTGACTCGACTGGTGTCATTTTCACAAATTTCGTCATTTTGTTTCATATTTTTACTGCATTGCTTCGGTGCAACACTTGTTGACCGATCCACATACAATTGTAAACTTTGACTTAAAGCCTGTTCAGCATTCTTCCTGCTTTTTAAAATATTATTTTCATTTATAGGAAATACAAGGGCTAAATCAGGACGATAATGTAAAATTTTCCGAACATTAAGCTCAATGATAATCATTCTTGCTGGTACATAATCAATGGCAGTTTGTAAATAATTCATCGCTTTTCGCGTTTTTAAACCGATAAATCCCATTTTGTTTAAAATTTTGTTAGCATTAACAGCCATTCCAATTTCCAGCCAATTTCCCCAATTAATTGTTGTTGCCGGAAGTCCTTTTGCTCGTCGTTCAGTCATAATTTCGTCAATAAAAGCATTAGCTGCTGAATAGTTACATTGGCCAATGTTACCAATTATTGAAGAAATGGATGAGTTAACAATAAAATGTTTGATTGGATGTGAGCGACATAGTTTTTCTAAAATTAATAATCCCACACATTTTGCTTCGGTTACAAGTCGAAAAGTTGAAATGCTTTGCTTGGAAGCTAATGCATCATGAATACATCCTGCACTGTGGATAATACTTGTTAGGGATATTTGTAACTTTTCGAAGAATTCTTTCATTTGCATTTTAGATCTCAAATCGACGGAAACTGCACGTACGTCAATACCTACACTATCGCGCATTTTGTTCATTTCTTCAATTTGTGTTTTATTTGGTTGTTTTCTGCCAAGCAAAAAAAGATGGGAAACTTTTCGATTGTATGCGATAAATTTAGCCATTTGCCAGCCAATTCCACCAAGGCCTCCAGTAATAAGCCATCTTTCTTTACAATTATCATCATCTGTTTGCAATGACCTCGGTAACTCTTCCATATATTTCGTTAAACTCGAAGCTTTTTGCAAAATAAAATTCCATTCATATTGCACTTTAGGATATAATTCTGCTGATAAACTTTTAGCAAATCCCAATGCAAATGCATTAGCGCCTCCGCATCCGGGCTTACTAGAAAATATGTAGGTAGACTTGGATTGGATGATTACTTCTGTAAGATGAAGTAAAACTTCTGCAAGGTATCGTAATGGAAAATTGTGGATTAATTCAAATCTGATTATAGCTGTTTTATGATCATTGAAATGTGATAAGAAATGACGCTTAAAATTTCTAGGATCCCTCGTATTTAAATATAGTATTCCAATGTCATCCTCAGTACTTCTACATTTTTTCTTTTCGTTACTTACAATGATTACCAATTGATTATTCAATTTCTTTCCTGATATGAATTGCTTGTCAGTAATGATAAGAGTTGTACAATCATTTCTTGACTGCACCTTAAAGAATGTTTGTGTATATGCGCAACTTTCATTTTCATCAATCGTCAATGACGAATACACATGTTGACTTTGAGATCTTCTGCGAGTGGATTTATCCAACGTAGTGATTATATCAGAATGTTTATCAATCATTTGACGTATCTTTTCCTCTTCATTATCAATAATCCTCGATGATATTTTATGATTATAGATCGCATCCGTTAACGAAAAAATATTTGGATAATTGAAAAGATCAACAGCACCAATTTGCAAATTTGGAAAATAAATAGTATTTAGACGATTAGCAAGATCAGTGATTGATAAGGAATCAAGACCAAGTTCTGTGAATGATACTGATAATTGTTTATTGCTAATTGGATTATCACCTTTACGGATATCTTCAACTGCTTGTCGCACTTTATCTGCACATTTTTGGTAAGTGGTAAAGGAGAAATTGATAAATTGATTCGGTTTCATTTGATTCTTTTTTTTCTGACACTTCGTTTTGCCCAATTTCTCGTTGACTTTTTTATAATTCAAACTTGCACTTATCATCATTTTATTATTGCTTCTGTTATACGCAATTATTTCACGATTTTCTATCCACACACACATTGATTCGGATAAAAGCGTATGAAAGTTTAAATTTTCAATAGTGAATTTTTTTTCACCGTAAACGTTGTATGGATTTAAAAGATCGAGATAGCATGCTGCTTGTATTATCGCTTCCATTAGAAGAAAGATTTGACAGCGACATTTTGCTACAAATATCTTTTCATTTGAAGAAGCACGAGTGATTATTTGATAAAATTTCTTGTAAAATATTCCTTTATCATTGAGGGTTTCGTAAAAATTCGGCTTTGTGATAAAATTTCCAATTTGCGTGACATTTAATGCCTTCATTGGGATTGTGTAAGCAATAAGGATAATGTTTGCTTCACAAATAACATTTGAGACGCACGTCAGTTTTACGTGATACTTCTCATCTGTATACTTTATAATTGTTGTTTTTATCCAATCATTTTCCTGCACACGATATTTTACCATTGTTATATCTCTGAAGAAATAGGATCGTGATTGGTCAGTAATATTCTTGAAGAAGGTAAGTTGAAGTGCTTGTATGATAGCTTCACAACAAATACCAAAAGAAAAGCGCATTTGTCCATCATATTCAATGGCCATCAATTCTCCATTTGTCATTTTGCTAATTTGATTAATAAAAATGCATTCATTCTCTTCATCTTTCATTAATCTGCCAATCAGCCAATGATCGATTGTTGCTGAATTCTCGGCAATCCAGTACGATTCACGTTTAAACTGATAGTTCGGAAGTGTAGTCGGATAAAGGGGTAGCGTGTATAGGCATGTCCAATTAATGCAATCTCCTTGCAGGTAAGATGTTGCAATCATTTCCATTAATTCATATTCAAAAGTTTTCTCATCCTTTATGGTATATAATTTATACCATTTATAATTGTCAGTATATGTATTCGCTGTTGAAATTTTCTGCGTATAAATTTGTATATTTGAATACACTGTATCGTTGACATTAATAAACTTTAGTTTACCCGTAATTAATAAAGCTGCAGTTAGCGATAGATTATCACAAGCATGAATAGCTCTTATTTTAATACCGAGATCGTGTAAAAATGTAATCAGACTTAAAAAGCCTGTCAGGATAATAGCACTTTGTGTTCGTTGAAATTTTGTTGAAATTTTTTGTGTTACAAAATTCTTCATCAGTGGTAAATAAATTTTGAAATTCGTCCTAAATTTTGCAAAATTCGAATAAAACCAGCGAATTATGTATGGATATGAATTAGTATACAATTTCAAGCCTATCATTTCTTGTTTTTCAGATTTTTCACAATTTATCCATTTTTGCATAATCTTTCCTTTACGTAACAAAATGACAGCACGACATTGCAAATGATTCCGATAAAGTGCTGCTGCTGAACAAATATCTTTCATGTTTTGAGAAGTATTTTTGAGCACTGTTTGATAGCTTCTCGTTAACATATCCAAGGATTCTTTACTTTTCGCTGATATTGGGCAAATACACATTTGCCATTCTGTTGTCATCCTTTTTTTTGATCGCTTGAAAATTCCTTTTTCAGATTTTAATATTGTCATAGCATTTGTCCCACTAATACCAAATGAACTTGTTCCAGCTATTGCATCTTCCATCCACTCTTCACCAATGACAGGTAAATATAAAGTTCCATCTCGTAAATTTTGCAAAAATTCATAGGATCCATGTTCCGGAATGTATTCATATTTAAATTGTAGTAAAATTTTAGCTAATCCAGCAGCACCAGCAGCAGCTTCTGAATGTCCAAAATGCGTCTTTGCAGTACTAATTAAACAGTGTTGCAAATTAGCTTGTAATGCCTTCAGCTCGATTGAGTCACCAATTATGGTACCTGTACCATGTGTTTCCCAATAATTAACGGATTGATTGCCTTGAATTTTACTTAAACAATCTCGAAGTAATTTTTCTTGGGCACAACCATTGGGTGAGGTAAGTGACATACTTTGTCCATTATGACCAATGCATGTTGAAATGATGCTCGCCGCACAATCATTTCCTTCTACTGCTTTATCTGCGATGCTTAAAAGAAGAGCTACGCATCCGTCTGCTCTTCCATAGCCGCTTGATCGTGCGTCGAAACTACGACACATACCATCATCAGCTAATAAATTACCATTTGCTCGTTGACCGATACTTTGTTCTGTTAAAATTAAATTAACCCCAGCAACAACAGCTATGGAACAGTGTCCATCAAGCAATGCATGAATTGCTGCTTGCAATGCAACTAAACTTGAACTACACGCTGTATCAAGCGTAATTGCTGGTCCGGCACTTCCAAACAAATAGTTCAATCGTCCACTAACAACACTAGCACTTGAACCAAGCATCGATATAGCATCCTGACTTTTCACAATATCCGGATATTCGTTTGACATGAAGCCGACGAAAAATCCGGCATCTCTCAATGAGGTTAATCCAGCATTTTCCATGCATTCGTACACACATTCCAGAAGTATTCGTTGCTGTGGATCCATCTTTTCAGCTTCACTTCGTGAAATGCCAAAAAATGTTGCATCAAAATAACTGATATCATCTGCTAAAAAATTAGCACACCTAATAGAATGGCCATATAGGCCTTCAGCTAAATTATCCCTTCCGCTGATTCTCGAACATGGAATTTTACTTGCCATTATTTGACCAGTTTTAAGAGCATCCCAAAATTCGGCCGGATCATGAACAATTTTGGGTAAACGGCACGCAATCGATTTAATGCATATTAATCTTTTGTCTTGGGTGTGGTTCAATTGATTTAATGTCATTTGTGATAATTCATTTTTGTTCATCGATTCTTCTACTTCCGGCTTTAATGATGTTTCGGCACGAGAATTAATCCGTGGCTCAAAAGAATTAGACGATAGCGCTCTTTCTCTCTTCACTACTTTCATTATATTATCAGATGTTATCGGATAAAAACTTATAGCATGCGCTGCAACAGCGATTTCATTAGTCGCAAATTCAAATGAACCCAAAAGTTTTCCGTTTTTCAATTCAGCTTTGACAAATGCCAGTATATTAGCATTCTCATATTTTCCCACTAAAATTGTTTGCTCCGTAATCCTAACAATTTCAATTTTCCAAATATGAAATGGTACCAAAGTTATCAACTTTGTGCCATATTGCTGAATATAAATAAAAACGATTGCTTGCATAGCTCCATCGATCAGAGCATCGAGATGTGTGCTTGGCCCAAGCTGCACTGTACCGTTATTCTCATTTATCACTAACTTTCGAACACAACGAAATTCTTCATTATACTGATAATGATATTTCTCCATCTCTGTATAAAATTCTTCTTCTGTAACCGATTTTGCATTGTGCTCAGACCTGCTAATGCCATGACAGATAAATTGGCATTTCCGATTATTACTGGATCCAGAATGCATTCCTGGACAAAGTTCACTTAATCGGAATGTAACGCATTGATAATTCAAATATGTAACAGTGCATATCTCGGAAGAAATTTGAACTTTAAAATTGATACTTTTGCTTTCAGATGCAAAAGTAACGGGGAAGAGGAAGGTTATATCTTGTAAAATGTTCCTTTGATTTGATAATGCGCTATAAATAGTAGTAAGTAATGTGGCAGCTGATAAAATGTTACAATTATGTACCAAATGGGCGAACAAATATTTTTTCTCTTTCAAATTCATTTGAACGCTCAAAATTTCCGTAAAATTTTGATTCGATGATTTTTCTGATTGATAAAATTGACTTTTCAAAAGGAAGTTAGAAATACTTTTCCTCCGGATTAAAACCTTCTTCAAAGCTAGGAGAATTTTAAAATCTTTCTGAAAAATAATAAAATCATCAAAATTTTCAATGTGTTTCATTAGACAATCATTCCAAGAACCAAATATCATATAGGATTCCATTTGACTAGCTAGAAATAGCTGATTTTGCTCATCATTAGTGAGGATTGCTGCTGTAAGAGATTCTGTATCTGATATTGTTAAACGATCGACATTAATTATTGAAATTTCTTTCTGAAAGTTAATGTCAAATTTCAATAGGATTGCATTGATTCGTTGAGCAGTCTTCGGACTATCTCTATCTTTCATTAATGGTGCGATAGTTTTCCATGCAAAACACGCATCTTCAAGTTTCAATGCATCTTTGGCAGCTAGCAGCATTAATGCATCGAGTCCGGAAACTGCTGCTCTTCCCGGATTGTAGCCAATATGAAAGAGTAATCTGACGATAGCGTATGTTACGGCAGCACTTTGCTCCAACGTTTCTGTCGTCGGACATATATGAAATACATTGCAGCAATGAGTATAATACTGTTGGAAAGTATCTGATAATATTTGAAAGGATGACAGTGTTAATGCATCCTTTCTCTGAATACTTATCAGTAATCCCGGGATTTTGAAGGCTTCAATTCTTTCCAATTCCTTATTGTTTCTGAATTTTTGATTTTGAATAATTGCATTTCCAGTATCTACGTTATTTTCGAATCCTAATCTCTCTTTATTTTTGTTTGATCCGTCATAATTCCTATTCCTTTGCTCTCTTCTGATATCCAACCGTTCTGATTTGCCTTCTTCCTGTTCATTATTCCCTTTATTGCATAATTGACCCTTTGCCACTTTGCTATTTTCTTCACCTTTACATCCATTTTGTTGCCATACAATTTTACAGCAATTATTCCATTCATTTGCAATATTCACAATGTCCGGCATGCTTTGCAAATCATATTTACTGGCCATAATATCATCGGTCAGTTAAACAAACGATAACCTAAAGGTGGACATTAGTTGATGTATATTAAGAATAGCATATAAAAAAAATTAAATTAATATGAAAAGAATACTCAAAATTTAAAGAGATATTAAGAACTGAAAATACGAAAGCTAAAAATGATTACCATCGAAATTGTATGATTTAACAAGAAGAATAAGAAATACAGCAAAAATATTACTTTCTATAAATTGCTAATTTTTTTCAAATGATTTGATAAGGAGAGAAAAGCTAAGTTTTAAATATTCATTTTTTAATATCACATAAATTTTAAATATTCCGTTTTGAATAAACAATTTTAACAAAATTAAGAACTAAGAAAGAGAGAGAATGAAATTAATGTTGTTTGAAGCGATCAGCATGACATGTACGAATGAAATAAAAATGTGAAAGGAGAAAGTATGTGAAATGTGGAAGGATCTGCTATGGAAATACTCTCGCTAAATAGTATCGTTTGAAGAAAACGATAAAAATTTGAGGCAATTAGCGATAAACAATGCTAATACGATACCAATTCTTCCCTTTTCGTATCCTTTTCTTCTTCCCAACTTTTTCTTTCACCCTGAAATTTAAATCTTTATAACTTATAGTTTTCCTGCGTTTTTTTTTGCAAACATAAATAAAAATAATCTTGCAAAGAGATAACTTTGAATATACATTTTATTCACAGCTGAATTTAATTAAAAATAGTGTAAATACAGTAAAATGAAATAAAATAACCATAATTTATTCATAAAAATGTAGCGAAGAAGGAATTAATACTTATCCATCCCTTTCATTACTTTTGTATGAAAGTCTCACACGATCTATTTATTCCCTTATCTATTCCTTTTGTTGCTTTTGTATGAAAATCTCGTACCATCTACTTTATTCCTTATCCATTCCCCTCTTTACTTTTGTTGCAAGCCATCCATTTTATTTCTTGTTTATTAATTTTAAATTATCGTTTGTTGACATTTTTTCCCCTCTGCGACTGTTGAGGTAGCTTAATTGAATTATTTTCTGAGAAAATCTTTACTTGATGTGAAAACTGCTAACAAGGTGTAATTAAATGATGCGATCAATCAGTAAAAGCATAGTTTAACATAGGAACTTCAATCGGCATTCGAATTACATTCTAACTGGAGACAATGCCTACATGATGGTCAGATTATTTGTGTTGTCATACCATTCCTCATCTTCCACTCTTCACTCAATGTGCTACTCGAGACCTGCTTATCGGAGATACTGCCATGCTATAGTTGTAATAAATGATTTTGAAAATTTGAATAATTAAAACATTTAATATTTAGAGTGATTATTTAATCTGCATGAGTTGATGTTGATATAGATATGCACCTGTTTTGTTCAATTTTATTAATCATTATTTGTAGATTACTTTACAGAAAAATAAAAACAAAGAATAAAAGATAATCATCACATATTGCGAGATATTGATAAGAATATCAAATATTCTTATGATTTTTGATTTCCCAATGCACGGCTAAATCACTGATTTCACAAGATACTGATATTAATTTGTGAATATTAATCATTACGTGCGACTTTGCATAAATCAACGAGAAATTTATTCACTTTAACTTCTCATGCTATTTTAATCATTTAGTGTTTTCCATTAATTTTTATTTCCGAAGTACAATTGTGTATTTGTGATAAATTATCAATACGCAAATGTACATTTATTCATTATTTAGATAGCACAGTAGCATATTTTTTTGTTCTTGTATAATTCCAAAAATGTGTATATTTATAATTAACATTATGCAATTTGTACATTGATTGACTTCTTTGATAGAGCAAACATATATCTGTTGCTTTCATGAATCAGCTCTTATAATCAATGGATATCTTTTAAATTACTATTTAAGTATTCTCCGAAATGATCATTTCAACAACTTTACATTGCTTTATTTATTGGCTTGTAAATATCTCGATTGAAATATCCTTTTTCTTCTTTTCCAAATTTTCAGTAATATTCAAAAATTGAGCAATATCTTCGGTTCATCAGTAAACCATCCGTCAGTTGCGCCTCAACAAGGGAACACTCGCAGTTGTTGTCAGTCCATCAGTTTGACGTAATACTCGAGCATATGCCCCTTCCATTTTTCCCTATCCTTATGCACCTTGTCCGTCCTTCTTATCTTGTCTGTGCTGTACTTGACAGACCAATCAAATATATAGACACCCAAGTATACACTACTATCTTTCACACTAAATTTTCAGCAGTACAGAATAAATTTATTCATCGAGTAACATGTAATTCATATTTAAGTACCACCTTACTTATTCGCGTATTCGTTAAATATATTTCTAATCAAATCATATTTCAATTTATTATTTTGACATTAATTTCTTACTTTTATTATTATCTTTAATTGCTTAATAACTTTCTTATCAACCGTTCAGCTAAATACTATAAAATATATACTAAATCATTAATTAATTGTTGCCATTTTTAATTGCTTGTTTTTCTAAGTGACTTATTCATTTATTTTATTTGCTTTTGCTGGCTACATTGCTAATTATGTCTTGCAACATGCTGTTTGTACGATAATTCTTGCAAAGACGATTGAAAATTATTTTTTCTTTCTTCAAATGAACTTCAATTTTTAACTGCAAAATCTCAATCTAAAATTACATCCCAATCTCAATTTGGCTCCTTCAGACATATTTTTCATTTAATAATAGTATTTGTTGTGCTGAAAAATGAATATTGGTTACTTGAAATATCGAACAGATATCAAAAAGTTATGCATTCAAGAATTTTGGATGAGGGGAAAAAATTGAATTTCGCCTCAATTCTCTGAAAAATTAGCCCTTTCGTTATCAAAAGTGTAAGTAAACATAAACAACGAAATAGCATTTTGGGCATCCCATTGGTAATTTAAAGGCCTTATTTTTCAAATTCCTTCTAGCTTCGATTATTAATGGACTGAAATTTTTTCTAGAGAATATTCCATCAATCTTTTTACAAAGAAAGAGAAAGAAAGAAAGAGAGAGACGAAGATACATAACGTATGGAAGGAAATATATAATCTTAAAAAAAAAGTTTTTCATTGATTTCATAAGAGTTATTAAATTAAAAATAATTCTCAAAAACTCTGAAGACATTTAGGAAATACGATATTTTTAATTTACGATAGGAAAAAATCATGCATGCAAATTTCTATCACTCTTACGATGTAAATGCTTAGTCTTGTGAAAGGAATATTAAAAAGTACAGTGTTAACGATTGATTCTTTTCGATTATGGAAGCATTTTGAAATTTCAGTTCCGGAAAAAAATTTATGCTTTTTTTCGAATTTCAAAACGTTCATAATTTTTGAATGAATTATCCGGCAATGAATCATCAATTGTAAATGCAAAAAATTGCGAGAATGGAAAATTTCCATGCACAGAGCTCTCTATATCTTCAATGATAATTAGAAATAAGACAAATCATGTGCATTTCTTTCCAGTTTCTTTGACCTGATGCATAATTTACCTTAGGAACGAGTACGCTCTTCTATGCATAATAATTAGTCTTCACGTCAATTTTTGTTAATTTTAAGATGACTATTTTATCAAAGATTCATTATACAATCATTAACCTCTGGTCTTATTAGAATTTGTTTAATTTCTAAAGAATTTATGTGTGAAAAAATAATGAACATCCTTTTTCATATTCCCACGTTTTCCTCTTTTTTTGATCTCTGAGAAGTGAAGGTTGTTTGCAAGTTTTTTACAAAAATAATCAAAAATAAGATTTGATAATGCAAATTTAATATATACTTCGGATGTTATTTAATTATAAAGACTTATCGCTGAAATATGAAAACATGGAGAATTACAGAGAATTTTTCATATCACTGGTTTTACATTTTTTGAAGCTAACGAAAATTTCCGGCTTTGTTAAATTTAGGGGTTATTATAATTTGTTTGTATCTTTGTTAGTTTATCTTCGTGTTTTTTGATGTTTTTTATGAAGCTTAATTAATATTAGCCGTAATTCAATTCATCCATCTATTTTATTAGTAGTAATTTATTAAAGGTCATTGTTTTATTTTATTTCCCTCAAATAGAAGAGATTTTTTCAGCTTGGAAAAACGGAAATAAATTCTGCGCACTTTTTCGCTTTCTTCGCTTTCATCAAATTTTTCCAGTTGCGTCCTTCTTTCCAATTTCTGAATCTTTTTTTTCTAAGCGCTCTTTTATCTTCAGCTAAATAGTTTCACTTTTGATAGCTTTCAATTTTTTTCTTTTGAATTCAGCCGTTGCTTCCTCTAACAGTCAGTGAGTTGAGGGAAAAGTTAGCAATAAGTGAAATTAGTCCCATTTAAAGATGAGACAGATAGGTAAATTAATTTGTAGGAATGCTAAAGCTTAAATGTCTCTAATATCTTTGATTCTGAAAAAACATCGAATTCGGAGATTTCCCAAAGATAATGACCACCGATTAGATTTTTTACGTTTTATTACAAATATTTAGAGAGAAATATCATTATTCTAATTGAAATGAAGGAGAAATATAGCAAGAAATTAAATGTGCCTTTATATCATAGTAATTGTCTGAGGATTGTCTTTTAAAATTTCTTAAATTTGTACAAATCTCATCAGTCATTGAAGTTGAGAAATTTTGAAAATGAAGTTGAAGTAATAATTAAACAAATATTTAGGAAAAAATTCTACATTTTAAATGTCTTATTGATTCCAATTGTTACCCTTTATAGTGAGCATTAAATCTTGAATCAGTCAACCATTTAAAGCCACGCTTACCCATTTTTATATACTAAGATTTAAATGGACTCTGTGCTATCATTCATATTCAAACTCTTAAATTTTTCCATTATATTAAATTTTAGATATTTGAATCGAAATGCGTATCACGCATATTTTATCGATGTATTTGCTGCATGTAACTTTTGGGAGTGTCACTGAAGAAAGTATCACAATGCAGAACAAGTCATCCAGTGCTGAAACATGTAGGGTTGTCATCTTAAATAATATTTGATTAATCGACAGAAATCGAAAGAAATTTATTTGTTTAACATTTTAGATATGAAATATTGAATGAATTGAACTGATTTCAAGACAAATGAATTAAAACGTTTTCTTTTCCAAAATATTGTTTTATTTCTTAGAATTGAAATTTATGGTATTCGAAATTCATATATCTTTTCAGAGCAAACATTTGCTTTCAGCAATACCAACCGATGTTCAGCCAATACGACAAACAACACATGGCGAAATTTTAGGATATTTTATGAAATTGAACGGCACATTCGCTGAAGTTTACGAAGCTGTTCCATATGCGCAGCCACCCATCGGATCATTGCGCTTTGAAGTAAGATTGAAGTGAGGCATGCCTGTGTAATACAATGACGTACTAATTTTTACAAATACTATGCTAATATTTTTAGTGAAACTTGAATAGATATCAGAAAAAGCTTGAAGAATAATAAAATTAGTTCTTTTTTTATCCGGAAGAATGTGAATATTATGAAAATAACTCACGACTCTTAAATCAAAGCAACGAATTGGTTTGAAATTTAAATTTGTCTAAAATTTAAAACCTTATTTGAATTAGCGTATATGAATTAATGAAAGAAACATATAAATCAATGCATAAAAGAAGAGAAGGTGTCTAAGTATGATGTAGAAACTATGAATGGTTATATTTAAAAATATTTCTACAGGAATTTTTAAAACTTAATTTTTCATCTGAAACTTTTTTTGGTGCTAATTAGCTGCTATTCATTCCTTATAAATCTTCATTGAAATCATGCCATATTATTCTTCAAAATCTTATGCTTTATGAAATAGAATTTAAATTTTAGGCTACAAAATCATTGATAGCTTGGAATAAGACAAGGAATTGTGGTAAAGGTCAAATGGTACAATGTGTGCAATTTGGACAATATTCCAACAAAGACGATGGTATCGAGGACTGCTTATATGCTACCATTGTCATACCTCATAAAAAAACAGAACCTGTAGTGTTTTACTAAATTGTCTGTGTTATTATTTAAAACTTGAGCAAATAATGCTGAAATGCATTTAATACTTTGCTCATTAATCATATCGAAAATTACTTATATGAGATATGAGAAATTTTAATTAATGATTAAATCAACTTTCGCTATTCATGCGCGAATTTCGTTCATTATCCAACAATACAAGCAAAATTCTAGAAAAGAAATATCGTTTAGCAGGAACATTCATAACTGTCAACTATTGGTATCAACAAAAATTTGCATAACTCTTTGCCTTTTTCAGGAAAGAAATAAACTGTATCCAATATTAATTTGGCTACACGGAGGTTCTTTTCAGGTAATAATAATATTATATATACATTTTCTAAATATTATATATCATTATTAATACTATGGTAATAGTCTTACTGACAACTTCAATTTTTCAGACGGGCAGTGCAAGCGTTTATTCTATCGAATCAATCGTGAAAAATTTTGCTTCAGAGAGTATTATTTTTGTAGCCATAAATTATCGGTTAGGCCCACTTGGTAACTTTCAATTCCTTTTATTCATTTATTCACATTCATTTATAGTTATTTGCATAGAATTTTTGACTAATACAATGCCGTTTCTTGAAAAGATTGAATTTAATGATTGAGTTTGTTCATCAGCTTTGCACTATGTGAATAGTGAGGCGGTTGAGAAAAGGACTATTGTGATTTCTTGAGTGATTCTGTTCGTAAAATTCATCATTTCCGGTTAATTGCATTTTTGCAGAACGGGAATGAAGAAAAGGGAATTGGAACCATTGAATGTTGCTTACTTCTCTACGCTATTAACTAGGAGAAGAGAAAGCTCATTTCTTAAGGAATAAAATTGAAGTTTCAGTCTATGAAGTAAATTGGGATAACTTCTTTGAAAGTCGAAAATAGAAGTAGAAAACAGAAATTATGAACTTTTCTTGTCGAGTTAATTCTGTTCAAAGCTCAATCGATAGCATTTATTCTAGCCAAAAAAATGGTAATAATAAAATGAATGATAAGCAGGATAAAAAATAACGAATAATATTTGACCATTTCAGGATTCCTGACAGTCAGTCATCGATATTTGCATGGCAATTACGGATTAGATGATCAAATTGAAGCGATTCGCTGGATTCGAGCAAATGCTCGAAATTTTGATGGTAATTTGAATAACATTGTTGTTGGCGGTATGGGTGCAGGTGCCGCTTGCGCAAGTATTTTAGCACTCTCACCAAAGACCAAAGGCAAGTTTTTTGAGAGCTTCTTCTGTGAAACAGAAATATTTGTTAAGATGAGAAAAAACATTTCTAATATATGAACATTCCAAATGTAGAATTACTGAAATGAAATTCATATGAAAGCCTAATTTTGTAATTCCGTCTAGTATATTTTTGATTAAGAGCTAGTCTAAAAAAAATTTTTTTTTAATATCATATATAATAAATCTTCTCATTGGACTAACACGAGCAATTTGAGAATCATTCTAATTCGTCTTAACTTTACATCATCATTTTTCTAGGACTATTCAATGGTGTCATATTACGAAGTGGAAGCTCTATTTCTCCATGGGCCGTACGATCCGCGTTCACAGAAAATTATTCTGCACGTTTAATAGATTATTCTGGTTGTGGCTATAATCGTACTTTGGGAATGTTGCATACGGTGGAATGCCTGAAGAAAATGCCAGTGGGAAAATTACAAAAAGCATGGAAGTATATCGCCAAGTTTGCTGCTACCATTATTGTGAGTGGTTATTAAAAAGCAAATTCTTTGTCAGAAATCTACGGATGGCTTCTACCGATTATTATTTATCAAAATAATTCATTTTAGGATAATGAAAATTACTTAATGGGTAGTAGTTATTTTACACCAACCACCGATCCATATCGTATCGAGGAAAGCGTTATTCCCGGTGATCCAATGTCCATCTTAGTTCAGAATCCACGAATTCCTCTGTTGATCGGTGTCACAAATGCTGAAGTTGTCTACATGATGAACGCAGATACTTGTATATTTGCACTATTTTTTTTTCTCTCTTTTAAACTAAAAAAGTGACTTGATGTAAAGATCTTAAAAATTAGTGTAATTTATCATAAGTTTAAATTTTAGATATTTCTGCAAATAAAACTTTGCCTATTTCTTCGAATGCTCTTATATCAAATTTACAAATTCTGTTCTTCATTTTTAAATTTTAGCAATCAACAATCTTTATGTGGGAAACAAAGAGTGGAATCTCAGTTATATTATACCTTCTTATTTACATGCTAATTACAAACAGGTATTAATGAATAAATATTCTTTAGAGCCACCTTACAATAACTTTAAAATGTATGGAAATATGCTGTAATCTGTGACAGGTAGAATCCTAAATAATTTAGATGCCTAAATAATTTAGATGCCTATAGTTTTTTTTGTGAAACGAAATCCTAAATAATTTAGATAAAAAACGTAAGTTTGTGAAACAAATGTACTGTTTCTATCATTATGATTATTTCATTCAATTTCTCACTAATTTTGAAGCAAATTTTGGGATATTTCTGATTAACAATTTCTATTGCATAATGCTGCAAATTAAAATTTGAGGTTCAAAAAGCTGTTGAATATCAATATTTGCCCGATTATCCGCAAAATCTGAATGAAGCCGAACGACGTGACGTAATTCTTAATATTTTATCTGGTAAGCTTTTTTAAATTTTGTTCAAAAAATTACTGTATATGAAATATTATGTGTTAAAAAACCGTATCAGTGATAATTCTAAAGAGAATATTTCCTCCTTCTTTCTCAAATTTTAGACAAAAATCCTTTTAAACGTTAATTTGCATAAATTTCAAAAAAAGCAACAAAATTTATTTCTTAATGAAAGTTCGTAAAATGTTATTGATAATTCAAATCTTTTCAGATCTATATTTCATTGCACCAGCGGCACGTGAAGCACTACTTTATGCAAGAAAAAATTGTACTGTTTATGCATATATATTTGAGTACGAAAATGCTCAATTATTGTCATCCGCTAGAAAAACTGGAATTCAACGAGGTAAAATCTATTTGGAAATTTGCTGTATTGTATTTTTTAGAAATGCAAACATTAAAATGCCTTAGTGAAATTTCGTAAAATGAATTTTTCAATCGATTTTATGTTTCTGAATTGCTGGCTGTAGTAGTTGTTCTAATATTTTTAGAGTGCCAAAAAAATATATTTGATGATTGATGGGATGAACATTTGTAGGAGCTTCACACGGTAATGATTGTTCATTTATATTTAACAATCCTACACTCTCAAACTCATCACTGAAAAGAGTTGAATGGAATGATGATGATCGAAAAATTATCCAGCAGCTTGTTAGCCAAATGGCTAATTTTATTCGCAAGAGGTTACGAGTTATAGCTTTCAAATTTGAAAATAAAAGAAAATGAAAGCATTATTTGAGCTATGTAAAATAGAATAGAAAATTTCAAGTCTGCGGGAAAAAAAAATGTTTTGCAATTGCTGACAGATATGTGAAAGAATTTTAACAGAAATGATATTATTATGATGGTTAAAGAAGATGGGAAATTTCCAAACAAACATTCAATACAATTAAATGCATTTTTAGAAATCTTAGTGATGATGGTTTCGAACGGTTCAGAACGATTTATCGTGTAGCTACACCAGTCAATAACCGGAATGTTAATACTCGAGTAGATTTCTACAGTAATGTAACTGAATTTTGGCATGAAATTATTCCTGCAATCGAGCAGCTACACATTGAGCCACATTATCGAGTGCTTTTACAACCCTGTACCATGTGCCAATATCCATATAAAATACCATTCTACATTATTCTAACAGTGCTAGTCGGTTTTTTATTACCATCATTTTTAAAATGGTGCTCTTTATGAATTAACAGTTACTATCATGATAACGACTATTATCAGTAATTACTCTATTATGATAATATCAACCCTATCGTTTTTATGCTCTTGTTGTGTAAAGTTCAGGAATTCAATTATGTAAATATTGAATTCCTAAACTGATGAAGATTGAAGAGATTAAAGCAGAAGAATAGTGAATAGGCGTCAAATTATATTGTTTGAAGGATTATACTGTTGAAAAAGGAATTATAAACCCGAGTATTCATAATGGCTTTAAAAATAATTAAAAATTCGGGGAATTATAATAATTTAGAAAAATATTATAAATTGCTATTGCAGATTTTGATAACGATTGGTCTACTAAGCGTCTTTATCCATCGTCAACAGCGCGTAAGACAGAAGCCAACGTATGCTATCGTACACGTTGAAAAATGATAAAAAATTAAAAGTGGAATTGAAACTGCTTTAAGAAGAGCTAATTGATAGTATTGAATGTTGTACGATCTCATTGAAATCTACGCCTTTTTCAACATATGGAGGAGTCGTTTATTTACAAATTTTGGTGAACCGTTTCATTTAGCAGAAATAATGCAAAGAAAAAAATTGTGAACAAAACATTTTTGTGGAATAAAGTGAATAACAGCGAGAGAGAAAAATGGAGAAAGAGAAAAGGCGAGGAAGAAATAAAGGGCAGAAGAAACACGAGGAATCAGAACGGTATGAATTCAATCGTGCGTTAACATTAAAAAGTAATAATTAAACATTAAAATCAATTTAATTTGAGTACCGGAAAGTTTCTACTTAATGTGTCTTTTATTTATTTACCATTTAATTATTTCAGCATGTGTACGCATTTTATTCTCTTCCATCTATCTCATCTGTGTTTCATACACAAACAAATATATGCCAGCCGTTGTAGGGGGTTTTTCTGCATGAATGGATGAATTTTGATGAGTGTTGTTAATTAAACTTCAATTCAATCTCATTGGTATAATTGATGATATTTATATCACTCTCCTCTGCTTATTGGATATTTTTATATTTATTGAAATATTACTCTATTCGTTTGTTCATGTGCTTGGAATTTTGCGTACAATACCAAGTATAACTTTAGTAAATATTTTAATTTGAAAATTTCTTAAATTTTTGAGAAGTGATTTTGTGATATTTCTTTATTATGAAATAAATTATGGAATACTATAAAATAAATTCAGATATTCAGTTTGGTTACGTTCGTTTATCTCAATTTAAATCATTCAAAATTCTGAAATTTAATTTGGAAATAATATTAAAATAAGCTTGAAATTTCTCGAAACTTAATTCCGAAGCTTACAGTGACGATTATTTTTTTCAAGTTGATGATTGCCTTTGAGTTCATTTTTTTAGTTCATGTCAAGAGTGTTTTAAAATGCTCATCATTAAGAAACAATGATAAGTTTGTTCTGCTTTGATATGATTGATTATAACCAACTTTTATTAGTATTCAGTGCTGCATTTACAATGAAATCAAAAATTCTTAGCATTTAAATCTTTTTTGTGTTCATACAGTATCTTAGAAAATATTATAAGGGAGCAAAATACTCGATAATTAAAATTTTTCGAATAAATCACTAAAATTGTCTCGAAATCACTAAAATTATCTCGAAGTGATGTCTTGCTTCCCAATAAAGACAATTTCGGCTTCTTTATTTCGAATTTGCATATACAATAATTTGGAGAATACGTAAAGGAAGGAAAAAATGAAATGGAAGAAGATAAAATAATGAAAAGAATAGTGATGTGACAGCTAAAATGCTCAAATAATCACTTATGATTTCATTGATTAAAACGAAGACATTTTAAACAGTAGGTGAAAAAAAATTTAACTTGTCATCTTTAGATCATTTATAGTCTGATGGATATTCCAATAGAACCTGTTTCATTGGAATGTCATTTGCTCTAAGAAGTGAACTTAAATTTTTCAAATGCATCTTAGAATACATTCTTTATTTCTGTTTCTTTTTTAAGTGTTTCAAAAAAAAAATTGATTTCTATCAATCTTTCCGTTCTTTTTCAAGCACTCATTGGTGATAAAAATAATGTATTCTAAAATGAGAGAATTGATTATAAAAAAGAGGTGCAATTGATTTATGGACTGTTTCCATGATAAATTACACTTCATTTTATGAGAGTTATCAGTCAATCCTTCCCTGTTCAGTGACAACTGAAGAATTACTTGAGAAGTGTGTTTTATTATCAACTAAAGATTATCTCTTCACCGAATTTCAGATCTTGTTAGGAAATACTCGTTGTTAAATGATTAAAATTAAAATTTCTATTGGCATCATGGAGGCGGTTTTTTTACATTATTTTGTCAACAAATGTCCTTTTTTATAGAATGGACTATAATCAAGATCGATTCGCTAAGATGTATATTTTATTAAGACATTTGATGAGTCATCGAACTGAGAGGTAAAAAAACTTAATTTCTTTCTTTGCCTCATTTTTCAAATCTTCCCTTTTTGTTCTCGACACACTATTTCATTTAATTGACAAATATCTTGTGATTTTTTTCCAAATAAAAAAATTGCGAAGAAGAGGAGCAGATTAGAAGTCAAAAAAGGCGAAGAGAGCAAATCCCTGTTTCTATAATAAATTTGTCAAATTTGTTTGAAATTTTGGTAGCAAAAAAGGATGACAAGTATGAATCATCGTTTAAATGTACTTATAATTGTCAAAAATCTACCCAATATATAATGGAACAATTTGACTGACTAATCAAATGTCTTTCTTCTCTTTATTTTTTCATCAACAAATATCGATAACAATTTTCATTTGTTCATCATTACGGTACTTTTTACTGATATATGCGAATCATATTGAATTTGCATTTAGCGAACATTGGAAATATCGCATTTTCTCTTTTTTATCTTCAAAAAAATTCATTTTTTGGCTTATATTTTCAAAAAGATTGGGCATAACGTTTTTTTAAATGAGTAAAGAGAATCGTAACAGTTATGAGGAAATTGTAATTGTGTTCAAGTTTTGAACTGTAAAAATCATCTCTATCCATCATATTTGCTACGTATTGTTTGGATCAAATGTATTAATCGTCCCATTGATCGTTAGAAATTGATTATCCTTTTCAACGATATTAATATGCCTTCCAATGTTATCCAAATATTTACTAAATTTTTCTTCATTGTTTTGTTTTTAATCAATGTTTAGATTTGTGATCAATTTAAATGAGTCATATCTGCGACAAACAAGTTTTTTTTTTTAAGTCGGCAAGCAATATTAGAGTGAAATGAATTCAAGTTTTAAGTATAAAGAAGATGTAAATTGAATTAGCTACGGATCGGACAATTTCATTCCAACATAATTCATTCGGAGTGTTGAAATTAAAATTTTAGTAATTTTATTTTTAATGGAAGTTCCGAGTGAGGAAAGGGAGTAAAAGAATTATTAGTGATAAAATTATGTTTGTATCGATTTCTTTCTCTTTTTCAATTCATTTTTCCTTTTCTGAATTTATGCTTTTAGACTTCGAAAAGATGTATTTGCATATTGTCTTATTTGCTCACTCGATAGTTTACTGATATGTTTCTTTATCATTCGTGTCTTACTGCCTTATTTGTTTACTGGTCATCTGACAGTCCATCGAGATCCTTGTCTACCACTCATTTCTTACTGTCTTTAACTTCATAATTAATTTACTCATTTTTTTGGTAAACTATTCTTTTATAAGTTATATAACCATATTTGAAAAATAAATACACTTATATTCATGTTTACTTATCGAAGAGAGATATGTTTATGGGCTTTTAAAAATTTTATTTCTAAGCTTGTTAGCTTTGTTAAATAAATTGAAATTTTATTGCATTGAACAAATCGCCTATCAAATTGGAGAACTGAAAATTGTAACTTCCCAGTGCCTAACAATTAATCAGTAGTGTACACAATTCATAGCACTGGAAAATCTTTATGTTTGAAAGAATATGGAAGGTCATCGGTTTGATCTTTCTGTTAAATACTGACCTCATAAGCAATAAAGTTCCTTTCATTTAGTGACATTACTCAGTAAAACTTCATTTTTCATCTCAATATCAACGTACTTTACATTTTAATCAATTCACATTTATTTTAATTGCCCCAACTTTAGTTGATTCCTTTCCTCTTTGTAATATCTCAGTCTGCTTCGTTGCTGTTTGAACTTTTCCAAATGTTCATTTGCTTGTCTTTTTTGAAGTTTGTTGATTTATTGCTATTTTTTGAGAATTAGCAATTCACCCAAATTCACACATTACATTTGATGACAATATTAAAAGTTTGAAATATTTTGATGTTGACGGATATCACTTTCACATTGTTTTAATATTGCATAGCATTCATTGCATACTTCCATATTTCCACTTTTTGAGGAATTTATATTTTAGAACGAACTTTGTAACTTTCAGATTTTTAAATCTTTTTTAAATGTGTATGCATACTTTTAGCAAAGACAGTTTGTGAAAAACATTTTTATTGCTGCTATGAGTTATCACTTTGTTGTAATATATAATTAATTTTATTCTTTTAAGTGATATGATTTTCTCAATTTTCTTTTTATTCACTTCTTTGTTTCATTTAAAAAATGCTTCATTTAAAAATTTGTTAGGGGAAAAAATGTAATTTTTGGAAAGAAAATTTAAGTTTTTTTACTAAATTCACAAAATTTGGAAATTGTTGGTCTTATTTAATAAAAATTGTCAGATGTTTGAGATGCAATAGGAAGAAAAAATTTTCTACCTTTTCATTTGCTTTTCGTCAAAGTTAATTTTATGGAGAATGTTTTTAGTCGACGAAGAAGATGAAATGCATGGAAACAGAAAAGTATATTCTTTATGCGTTATGTTAAGTTAAACAATTTTTCACAATCCGATAATTGTTTTCCTCTCTGATAGGGAATTTTTTTTTGTGACGCATAATAAAGAAAAATGATTTTTTGACTTTTTAAGAATGATTCAGACAAAAAAAATTTTTTTAATTTTTTTTTTTGTAGTTAACGTATTCTATTTCATTTATTTCGGAAATACAATCCGGTTCAAAAATTCAGATTCATGACTCAGTGGATGTTTTAATTATTCACTGTTTTCAGTGTTTCGATGACTATTTTGATTGGGAATGCTGCAGTTTTATTTACATTTTAATACCTCACAGTGCATTGTTTTAATGTAACCTTTTTTCCATACAACGAAATCCGATACTAAAATTTGAATGCTTTTTTGTTGAGTTAAGCGAACGATTCGTAGAAGTGGAAAGTATTCCGAAAAAAGACATTTCACAGTGCAATTATTCTGGAATTAGTTTTCATGCGAATCAAATCTATGTCAAAATGCAAATTTTGTCCTATTTCAAGGAATATTGCATCCATCGAAACTACAAATAGAATATATAACTTATGTACAAA